TAATGATATATGATCAGTTTGTCACATAACAATAACTACTCCACCGCTATAAGGACAGTCACTGGGTTTTTACTCCGTCAGTGAACTCCATCTGTGACTTACGCGCTCTGTACGTGGGGCTTTGTTATCTGATGAACGCAGCGTCTGTCGCTGCAGTGGAGTTAATAATGAAGGGGGGAGGGGGATGAGTGATTGGCGACATGGGGGAGGGAAATGACGAAGAATTTAAAAAAATCCCTCTCACCACTAACCTGGTACATTTCGGGTGTTGCCTCGCGCATTAAAGCCTGGCTCAGCCACCTGTTACCACAGTTGTTGCCCTTCCCTTCTCTGTGTAAAAATGGGTTGGGAAAGGGAGGGATATTTTTCTAGCACCAAATTTCTCTATCTTGTTATCTTCGGACCAGCGGGTCTTTTGGCAGTAGTGGTTGTTGTTCCAGGGTTTTGAGTGGGGGCCTCGCGCCAGGGTGGAATATTGGTGGCGTTCTCTAACGAACCGCTGGATAGTTGGAACCTGTTCTGGAGAACAACGGATACGGATCCACGCTTTTCTTTATGAACAGTAGGGCTTTGGTGCGTGTGGTGAAATGAGAGTTTTAAACCTACCAGGTACCCATCTTAGAAGATCCTGAACCAGCAGACCTAGTCCTAAAGCCCTGGGGCTGTCCCCCGGAGGTCCGACGTGCCATTGGTGAGCCGTCTCCCACTGTCTGTCTAAAACAACAAACCTTCTACTAAATATAGCGCACCTTTGCAAGGTGGGGTGGGGGGGGTGGGGCAAATGTCGCAATGAAGTTATGAATTACTCGTGCCACACCTTTCTTTTCGTTTTTGTACGTCAACACGCTCCGTATCCCCCTGTGCATTGAAGAAGGGAGAAGAAGCTGTGGTTTGATGCTGGGAAACTGCAGGCTGAGCGGTCTCTGCACCGTCCGTGAGGTTCGGCCACTCTACGGCTGTAGTGGGTAGATTTCTCTACGTGTGTCGAGGCTGTAAGCTACAGTGTCTGGGAGGAGAACGGTCTACCACAACGATCTATTCACGCTCGGGGGACTGTAAGTACAGCGGTGCAGACAGAGAGAGTTTTACCGTCATTAACAATTGTATAAAGCCGCCAATTTGCGCCTAAAGTTCCGGTCGTACTTGTGGTGTGCAGGTGACTAAATGCTGTGGAGTTTTGTTGGACGAGAATGCGATGTCCCCACACCACTAGAGAGGGGAGCTATCCTAGTGTGAGGTCCTCGCTGTAATACTGCTGTTTTAAACACTGTTCCGTGCTAGTTCCCCCTCGCAATCCAGGCAAACCAACACATAAGATGCACTAATGTGTATCGTTGTACAGTGGGGACATATCAGCAGAGCACTGTTTCAAAGACACCTATCTAGATATAATAGACATTGATCTTTCGCGGGCCTTTATTCTAGCAACACTTCTTTTAACTACTCTGTGCTTCGTTTCTTCTAGTTACCAGGGTGATGTAACTCAACATGGGCAATTAGCGATCCTCCAACCCTCTCTCTTGACGGCCCCTCTTACTCTCTTCCATCCCTCAGAGCTGTAGTGGTCTCTCTATCTCTATGGTGGTACTGACAGAGAGTGGTGCTCCCAGCCATCCTGCGCTCACGGTTCTCTTTCTCTTTCTCTTCTACACAGTGAGAAGAAGACCCTTAATTGTCCGCTCGTTTGTACTGTTATTGTTTTATATAAATCTCTGACTCTTTCCCCCTCGAAAGGAGGATCCCTCACTCACCTCTTTTCATCATTTTTCACCTTTGTGTTTGTATACTTCTTGATGCTTGAAGAATATTGCTAGCTGTGACAACTACTGCCACGTAGAAAATATACCTGCTTTCTTTCCCTCTGCCACTCTATTCACCCCCCCACACGTAAGTGAGCCTGCGAGTGGACTAGACATATACAAGCGGCTCTGCCCCCAAGGCAATGAGCATGGCCGGGGCGGAGTCCTCTGCGACGTGAAAGATTGTCACGTTCGCGTGGAGTCGCTCTCGGCGGAAGGGCTGCCAGCAGCGTCCACACTCTTGCTCGTCGGTGAGCACAACCTTATGTGGGTATTATCTAGGGAGAACACTTCTCATGTGCAACAAGTAGGGATCAAAATTTTGCAGGATAGCAATACAGTCATAGTCTCAGTCGCGCCACACCAAAATTTTGGGCTGACACCCTCCTCCGTCGTTGACCTGAAACTACTGTGCATAGAATGCATGAGATTTCCGTGTGACGAAAATTTTTTCCAAGTGTGGCTGTTGACGGTGCACTGGTGCCTCGGTCATTGAGCGTTAGGAGAAATTGAGAGTTGGTTTTTTGTCTGTTTTAGAGTCTCTTTGCCGATGATCATGTGAGCGTCCAGTGTCCACGGAGACAGCACAACCTAGGTAGTGCATGCGTACACACTATGCATTCAGCCGTTTGCTTAATAGCCCCGGAAAATGACGATGTTTACATAACTGTACACAACATTGTATATACTGTTATTGAGATACAAACGTTCCAAAGTAATGTAAACTCTCTTGCTTTTACTTGCTTGCTTTTTGTCGTGACGATGCATTAAGAGGCTACGCAATGTTTAAATTTTAGAGGCACGCATGCAATTCCCAAATGCACATCAACAGCTCTAATGTTCTCCTCCATCTCTGCCTGGTAGCAAAGACACAGCGTGGATAAGACTAAGATACTCACAACATCAGCATCCCAAGTCGCACAAACATTTCCCAACGAAATGGCCTGTGGTCTATTATATATGTTATATACGAAGCAGCAACATGTTCATATATGCTCATTGCAGATGTGACCACTCGTGTGCGGTGTTGGGAGGGAGTGTGTACGTCTGCGGAGGCATGGGGAGCGACGAACTGTGGTTCAACGATCTCCATCGACTGGCTCTGGACCCCCTGGAGTGGAAGGAGGTGGAGCAGAGGGGGAATCCCCCTCTCCCTCGCGACTACTCCACACTAGTCACCGTCAGTGACTGGGTGAGTTGCTCTACAATGTAGATCTTTCTTTTTTGCTTCGTGAAGCAAGTCTACTTCGTATTTTCCTGAGGCCTCAAACATCCCCACCAAAATCTTGGAAATTAGACACACCTTATGTCCATTCCTAGCTGCAATGCTGCATATATAATAGAGGGTCTTCCCCTCTCTCTCTCTCTACCCCCCCCACCCCCCCAGTACTGGTTGTATGGTGGCAGCATTGCAATGAGTGGAAAATGAAGAGCTATTTTCTTATCTTAACTACATTGACATCACATCAGGTCAGATTACTGCGACCACATTCCATTATCAACAACCATCCCCCTTCCCTCTCCCCCCTTCTTCCCTTCCATAACAATATTATATCTCCTCGAAAGAGATTCAGATTTTCATTGTTTATTGTGCATGCATGCACCCTGACACACGGCATAAAATGTTTCTCTGTGAGGTAATATTGGCACTAAAAACGAAAAGAACTGGTTTGTAAGAGCAATAGCCGAAGGTACACGCTCCATGGAATTGTATCTGTGTATCTACTGTTCAGGGAGTCCAGATGATTCTTCGGTGGAGGTGAAGGAGTAACTCACCTCCTCCCAGATACGGCCATTCCATGGTGGTGTGGACAAACAAGGTGCCAGAACTGACTACAAACCTTCACTCTTCTCGCTCTATAAGCTCTAATGTTCCATTCAACCCTTTTCTAAGCTCTAATGTTCAAATTCAGCCCTTTTACTAAAGCTCAATTGTTCAAACACCCCCCACCAAACAAACCACCCCCCAACCAACCAAACACCCCCCAACAAACAACCCCAACCAACAATTCAGCCCAATTGGGCAGTTAAACTCCAAGTAATGGACACATTGGGACCGGCCTTTATAGGGAGGTTGTCCTGTCCTCTCTTTGGAGGTCGAAATTTACTAGAAAAGTGAACGTTTGTGGGGTCAAAGTGTGTCCTTTATTGATAGGTTGTTTTTCTATTATGTCCTGGATATCTTTTTATCAGAAGTTCTACTGTAGACGTGTTCTTCTCATCTGCAGCTGCTCGTGTTTGGAGGACAAAACAGCGACTCTGTATACAATGATGTCTGGAGCATTGAATTCACTCTGCCCCTCAACCAGTAGGCAATAATATTATTATTATAGCGGGGAAGTTTGGCGTAAAAGGTTGTGTACTTGAGGTGTCGAGCACTATCCGAATTCCTCCTGTGCGAAAGCGCGTCCCTCATTATCCAGGTTATCATCCCATTTCTTATCAATTTATGAAATCGTCAATATTTTCCAGTTGCTACTCATACCACTGTCACTAAGCGTTCCAATTCAAAAGGGTGCGTTTCGTACCGGTAGAAATTGGTGACAAAGCCTTCCCTGACAAAAACCTCCAGCTGCTCCTTCTGCGACTCTCCAGTCAGGGTCCACAGTCGTACACATATACATGCTCAACTCCAGCATAGCGGGTAGTTTTGAATCTATTTTCATGTGTCGCTGTTTGTCCCGACAGTTTCCTCCGTCCGCCCTTCGCTGGTTCCTCGTCATTCCTACGAGACCTCGGTCCCAGTCCCCGCCCCTCGGAGGAGCGTCCAGCCCGCCACGCCCCCACCCGTGACTCCGAGAGATTTCGAGGAACTTCGCTCGTCTTACATCCTGAGAATCAACGAAATGTTTGACACGCTCAGAGATGACTTCACCGAACTAGACAAGTGAGTCTCGAATACTATACGACATACGTATGTAGTCACCTCAACTCAGCATTGACGAGATCAGGGCTTTCGATTCAAGTGATATTAAACCACAGCAATATATTCTTTACAGTGTCTAGATATAAGGCTCTCAAGGAATATTTTTCTAAATCCAGTTGGTTGGCCTTAGGGCGAAACAAAGGGAAAATCTTAATACAAAAAATGGTGAACTGTTTTGTAACTCCATTTATATTCTATCAGGGCCAGAGCGGCTCTGAAATCAGAGAGGGAGGAGTTTGCTCAGGAGAAGGCGGAGTACGAGGAGCTGTACCAGAAACAGCAGGGGGATGGAACTGGGTCGTGCCAGGTGTTGATGATATACAAACCGAGTACCCAGACGAGGTGTGGCTGGAGAAGACGAGGGGAGAGATTGACGATGAGAAGAAGGAGCTGAGTTCTTCGCTAAAGCAAATGTCGATCAGTGTTTCCATTAGCTCCGGAGATAGGAGAGTGGTGCTGGTTATATAGAGTCCAGAAAGAATGCATCATCAGGAGTCTAGCTACTGTATGTCGATAACACATGAAATGAGGCCACTTATCTACGAGTGTGACACGGGGAAAAGTTTTGCATTTTGAAACTCTCGATCAAGATTGGTACATTTTCGGTCCCCAAAAGAAAATTGAGATAGTCTCTCTTGGTCATTTGTTTCTCTGTGTTGCGTGTGTTGCAGGCGATACTGGAGAAAGGCCAGGCAGAGCTGGCAGCAGACAGTGACATGTGCACGTTCTCGAGAGGAAAGATGTCAGAAACTGGATGCAATAATGAAGCAAGTGCAGGGGCTACAAGACACTGACACACACAAAGACACTAAAAAGTCACGGCTCATGTATATGCTTTTGTCCCGCTTGGATGATAAGGTGAAGATATTATCACGTTTGTAGAGAGTTTTGATATGTCTGTGTACATCATTCAATCCCGTCAGCCACCGATATAAACGTTGCGTTTATGAACGTTGGAGGAAACAACGTTACTGTAGGAGTAAGCGAGGTGTGTGAGAGAGATGCGGTGGGCCGTGGCGAATCAGTAGCCAACAACGAGTATCCAGACACAGTGCTCGGGTATTAGCAGGGAAACGCCTGTACGGTGACAGAATGGAGAGGAAGAGAGATGAACCATGGCGGTACTGATCCACGGACCGCAGCTTGCTTACGGACAGTAAGAGCCACACGCCGTCCCGATAGGAGGAACGTCAAGTGCGAGCGAGAAGGTGGTGTCGTGCGCGTGTCATCCAGTAACCACACCAGGACGTACCATACGGCATGCGTCCTTTTCCGGATCCGAAAGGGGGTCAAAGAAACGCCTCTGAAGGTAAAGACACAACGATGCTTTCCACGAATATTAATGCTATCTGTTTCGCAAGAGATCGGAGCTATCAAGCGATGCTCGGGATGAACATTTTCTGTCGAAGAGCAGTGTCTGCTCCTACAGAGGTACTGGGCCAGCTCGCAATAGTGATGAAGATATGTATATCCACCCACCTACTCCATTGGTGTGTGGCTTTCAGTTTTAAAGAGAGAGGTGCCCGCAACACACTAGAGCTACTGGCTGAGGTACATTTTCACGCATATTGAGGCGAACTCCTTTATCACAACGCCACCTTATTGGCTGGTTGACAGGAGAATGTGACACGACGATCGAGGTGGAAAGTATGTAGGATTGTGGCTAAAAGAGACAAAAGGGAGGTACGGCAGGAAGAAATCACGGGAACAGCTCTAGCTCGTGAAGCTCACACGGAGCGGGCACCGAGCTATCTCGAACGCATAACCCGTGCTACAAGTGTGTCGTCATGCGGCTGAGATCGCGGGCGCCCTCGGTAATGGAAGGTATCAGAAAACGTGGGTTAGTAGAACTAGCGCGAGTAGGTCTCGTAGGCATGGCACTATTAGTACCGGGGCGGGTGCTGAGGTCCTGTTGCTGTCTGTTGCCATAAGGAACTCACTCTTACAGTCGGAAGATCAAATGCAGTAAAATTCTGGTTAGGTTAGTATTGGGAGTGTGCGACGGTCTCGTGTCTAAGACAGGCACCGGGACCGTGCCGTGGGTTATAGAGAAACCTTCACTAGTAAATATCTGAACTCCATTTCTGTAGCTTGGCACACTCGGAGGTCCATGTAGTGAGAGTCTAGGGTTGTAGGTTGCCGCGTCGTGGGGAGTCGAGTTGTATGTTGTCAAAGTATGGCTGCTGACTAATATCTTACCGGGCATGAACATATACGTAATGAGGAGAAAGCCACTCAAACTCATTGAAGTCAGTTTATGATATCACAGAAGAAAAAGCCGTGTGTTCATAGTAATGCGCTCCCTGCAGGTGGAGAGGTGCAGAGCATATGGTGGCGGAGGATCTCATATGTCCCATCACGATGCCGCGGACATCGGAGAGGCAAAGGAGAGGGCCCTCCAGATGGCCAAAGAGAGGGACCTGGTGTACGTGAACGGATACGACGACCCCCGGATCCTGGCCGGGCAGGGTACGGCGGCCCTGGAGGTGGTGAGCCAGATGGAGCAACTGGGAAAGGAGTGCGATGCCGTGGTCATCCCTGTCGGGAGGAGGCCTCCTGGCTGGGATGGCAGTCGCTCTCAAACACTATATACCCCACGTGGAGGTCATTGTGAGTTGCCAGAAAATGGTTTCTACAGCAGTGAAATTAATCTCTCTATCTCTCTCTCTCTCCCTCTTTCTTTATTGCTCTTTCGTTCTCCACTCTTCCATCTTTCCCTATCTCTCTCTCTCTCTTTCCCTCTCTCTCACTCTTTTCTCTCCCTCCCTCTGTATATAGGGAGTGGAGAGTGAGCAGTGTGCAAGTTTCTCAGCGGCCATGAAAGCTGGAAGACCAGTCTACACCAAGGCCCTACCAACCCTTGCAGATGGACTTGCTGTTCCTGAGGTTTGTGTATATATCTCCACCGAAATAAATTTATTGGCAGTCGTATGAGGTTTAGAAAATTGCCAATTTGATGTAGGAATTGTGTTAACAAATGTCCCCTAATGAGTTAATAGCCACTAATATTTACACTGTGTTGTGTATATACTTACGAAATTCTCCCAGGCTGTCTACGATCCCTGGAAGAGTGGAGTTTCATGTTTCTCCTTTTCTCACTACAGGTGGGGACCAATGCATTTTACTGTGCCCAGCCGTGTGTGGATCGAGTGGTGGTTGTGTCGGAGAAAGACATAGCTCTGGCCATTCTGAGACTGGTGGAGGTCGAGAAGAGTGTGGTGGAGGGAGCTGGGGCCACCGGTCTCGCTGCTTGCCTCTCCGGACAACTGGACCACCTCCAGGGGAAGAAGTAAGCCGGAACAGTGACTACTACTTTTTGTCAGTGCATGTGAGCAGGTTATCCTATTTTGCCTTTACTTGCTTATATACCTAGTTGAAATACTAATGTTCCATCTCTTCTCTGGATGAATGAAAGTCTTTTAGTGGTCAGCCGAGACTGGACAGTACCATTTCACTAGTACGAAACATTAATGAATTTCTACTTCACATTCGTCGTCGTATGGCAAAATTTAATGGAGTAAACATTCCAACAGCGAATCTGTGGAAGTTTCTCTCTCAATTGTAGACTCTACACATGCACAGCTTACCTCAATAGTGATGCGGTGTGCTCTCAGTATAATCACCAAGTACGGTGTAATATGGGGTTACAAGGGACCCGTGGCATTTCTACGTCCCCACTGCAGTGTGGTGGTGATGCTGTGTGGCGGGAACATAGACACGACCACCCTGGGCAGGTGTCTGGAGAGAGGTCTGGCAGCCGACGGGAGGATGGCCACATTCAAGGTCGTCCTGGAGGACCGACCAGGCAGCATCGCCGGACTCACACGTCTCCTCTCTGAGCTCAAGTGCAGGTGTGACTCTCCCAGCGAAAATCAAGACCTCAACTTGCTTTTCAACAACACACGGTTTTTTGGGGGGATTCGGGCCAGTATTAGCTCTGAATATTTGGATATGGCAATAAGTTTCTCCTTTCTAATTCACAACTGGAGCTTTTTATCACGGCTCTTCCTTCTTTCCACCCCTCCTCTCCCTCAGTGTTAAGGATATCACTCATGAAAGAACGTGGCTTCAGGCAAGCATCCACCATGTTGAGGTACGTACGTACGGGCACACTCTGAGAGTCTAGTTGTGTTGTTTGCCTTAATTGCCTTGACCTGTGATCTCTTTGTGTGTGCATAGCTACAGTGATACCTCCAAATAAGGACCCTCTGAACGAAGGACACCTCTCTATAATGGTTCTGCCCCATACTAATGCACCGGGGAGGGTACCAATTAATTGAATAAAGGAAGGACACTCTCAATGTCCCCAAGGCGTACATAGTTTCTGTCGTATGTTGTGTCAGATTGAGTACATTTCAGAGGTTTAGTTTCTGTCGTATGTTGTGTCAGATTGAGTGTGTGGTGGAGACTGTGAGTAAGGAGCACAGGAGGTCACTCAAGACTGCACTGCTGGACAAGTATGAAGGGGGCCTGGTAGAGTGGGGAGCTCAGAAACTGGACCACACGTCCCAATAGCACACTACATGACGCTACAACAGCCATCCGTCTCCATAGTGAACACACCAGAAACACCTACGTACACGCATATCGGACGTCCTGTCTATTCAAGTAACTCGCGAGTTTTTTTAAATCTCAGCTCATCCTTTTCAACCACACACGGATTCTCTGATTCACTAATCCTACATTTTCATTACATCTATCTCTGGCCAATCACACACACCACACACCACCACTCCTCTGTATACTGTATATGATGGGGAAACTATCGAAGGAAAAATGCTTCAACAGCAATGCAAATTTTGCCGTGAAAACTGTGTTGGTTGCTTGCCCCACGCAATACAAATGTGTCCATCTACAGAGATTGGCGAAGAACACTCTGAGGGTTGCTCATAAACTGTGATACTATAATAATTATACAGGGTTTTTTCTGGTGAATTATTGCATTGAATTTTGAGCTACATTCTCAATACGTTGAGTCTGTGTTCTGACAGTGGAGGTTGTCTGTAAACTGTGCATATATCCAGTGCCTGTGATAATACCTGCAGACAATTATCAATGCAGTTTGATCATGTCAAATGATGTAGATGCACTCAACCTAATGTCTGGTTTTTGGTAATGATTTTACTGCAGTTCACGTCCTCATAAACCAAGTATATACCAGGTAAAAAGGGGTAAGGAGATTGTGCCTTTGCCCACTGAGCATAATACTACAATACCTGTCTAGTTTCATGAGGTAAGATGACAGCATCTGTGACAAGGTTAGAAGGAGGGTGGTTGGCACACTCTTCCTCCAGTCTAGAGCAGAATAACAAAATTATCCACAAACCGAAGTAATGACAGAAACTGTTTATGCAACGTGGGGGTATGCGGATATCATACCTGTCTAGAAGAGCTGGGTCTATATCTCTCTCTGCAAGTCCCTGCTGCTGTCTCATAGTCTGTAGCTGGTGGTCAGGACTAGCAATGGCTTGACGGGCATGAGGCCAGGAGAAGAGAAAGTTAGGTTGGAGCGCTCGGCCTCCCTGCAATCACAGACAACTCATCTCTATAATATCACTCCTCTCCTTTGCCCCTGCTGATTCATTAGTGCAGATTACCAGATTGGTTCTGACCAGCTTTTATATATCAGTGAGGTGTGGCTAGCTGTTGTAGCTAGGCTAGTGGAGCGAACTCCCAGTCACCCCCCATGAGTTTGAATTCTGACAAAAGTATGTCTGAGCATACTACACGGAAAACTAGAACTAAGTACACACTCTTACAAAGCTAACATAACTATTCTTACTTTACTTTCTGAACATACATACAGCGTGCTACACAAGCAAAGCACATAGATTTGTACTAGAGGTATAAAAATATTAAAAAAACAGCCTCACCATTGCAAAGCTGCTGGGACCGAAGCCGCCACCAACAACAACAGTTATCTTTGGAACAGTAGCACATGCAACAGCAGACATCATCTGTGCTCTCGACTTTACCGTCAGACCCTCGTTACCCCCGGGGGCCAAATATTCGAGATCCGAGGGGGTGTTCTGGAAGAAAACGATGGGGATGTCCCTGAATGTGCAGAGTCTGACGAAGTGTGTTCCTTTTGTTGCTGCATTTGCTGTTAGTTCTCCATCGCTAGCCAGAATACCTACCAGTCGACTGCAAGAATAATTAAAGACCATTGAATATTTAGTAGTATATACCATTATTGGAGTCAACAGAGCTTCAACAAAGAAACGTATATCTCAGAACACACCTTACACTAACATTTTTAGAGCTAACTGCGGCATTTTCTAAGCATTATTATGTGGGTTAGAATAGAAGTCTCTGGGAGTGTCCTGTTGTAATTGCTTAGAAGCGCTCCTGCAACTACTAATGACTGATGACAAAGATGTACATACCCGTTGATCCTGGCAAACCCGGCGTGTAGAGTTGGTCCGTATTTCTCTTTGAACGGATGAAACCTACTGCCGTCCACCACTCTAGCAATGATCTCCAGAGCTGGCCACTGGCCGTGTGAGAGAGACGGTGGGAGAAGACTGGCAAAAGATTCCTCTGACGTACTGTAGAGAGGAGGCTCTGTGGGAGCGGGGTAAGAGAGGGAGACGGGGAGGTAAGAAAGAAGGGAGAAAGATAGAAGAAAGTAGAGAGGGTATATATGTAAGACTAGTGTTAAAACTATGGTAACGATTAGTTAATGATTATTATAGGAATGGTATTCATTAAATGGAGAAAAGATAGAATCATGTGAACTTGCGAGTGTGCTGAGACTCCCTCAGCCCACGACAATCCCTTTATTGCTTGCTCCCTGCCACAATAATCCGCATTTCCTCCTCACCAACTGCCTCTTCTCTCTCCCTCCTCCTCCTCCTGGAGAGGTTGAGGCTGCTGACGATCCTCCTGGTGACCTGAAACCCCTCCTCCTCAGATTCCACATAGTGGTCCGTACAGCCACTGACACCGCAGTGAATGTCTGCTCCTCCCAGCTCCTCTGTGGTTATCGTCTCACCTGTCGCTGCCTATATCAATGGGGGACAGTGAGTAAGGGACTAATTGGGGCATTGAAAGTTCAGAGTCTAATACACTAATGAAAAAAGACCCTCTGAATAAAGCACACTTTTCTATAAGTGACCTTTGGTTTTGCCACAGTCTTTGAGAAATGTGTCAAATTTGTGGAGTAGTTTTGATTGAAAATGCTGTGTGTCCATTCAAAATGTATAGCATGGTGCACAAGAGGGATTTGCCAATTTTCTGGTGGGATAGGCAGTACTTTTGCTTGATTATCAAACAGAAAGCTGGATGGCTGGTAAGTATGTAAAGTAGGCTCACTACACTCCAGGTTGATGGTGTTACCTTAACCAGAGGAGGTCCGGCCAGGAAGAGTGACCCGTTGCCTTTCACGATCACAGCCTCGTCTGACATTGTGGGAATGTAGGCACCTCCAGCAGTACACGACCCACACACTACAGATATCTATGTACGTAAGTATTGTATAGAGGGAGGTTTCAATAAGGGTTCGATTATTACCTGGGGTATCCCCATAGAGGACAGGTTGGCTTGATTTCGGAATACACGTCCTCCGTGATATCTGTCAGGGAAAACTTCAGCCTATGGCGTAATGCATGTGAGAAATGGTTGGAGTGAAATAGAGGGGAAAGACGAAATGAGAGAGCGAGAATGGGGGAAAGACGAAATGAGAGAGCGAGAGATAGGGGGAAAGACGAAATGAGAGCGAGAGATAGGGGGAAAGACGAAATGAGAGAGCGAGAGATAGGGGGGAAAGACAAAATGAGAGAGCGAGAGATAGGGGGAAAGACGAAATGAGAGAGCGAGATTGGGGGAAAGAGGAAGGGACAAGAAGAAAGGGGGAAGAGGAGGTGCATGTATACCTGCAGAGGAAGAAAGGCGCCGCCAGAGTCCACCAGGTAGATACAGGGAAGCCTGTTCTCCATGGAAATCTCCTGTGCCCGCAGCTGTTTCTTGACGCTGATGGGGTAGAGAGTCCCACCCTTGAAGGTCCAGATATTGGCTGACACCACACACGTCTCTCCGGCTATCTTTGTCACGACTACCGCGTTGCTTGCATTCGGGACCCGACCGTACGGCATACTCCACCCGGCAAACAGACCTACGTCCAAAACCTCACCCCCATCGTCTCTGAGAAGGTCGATTCTCTCTCGAACTGTAAGTTTCCGAGACGATCTGTCCTTGCGTCTTACCTCGTCATCCGAGCCCTCGATGGCAGCTCGAATAGATCTGATCTCGGCAAATAGTGACAGATTCACGTCTCTGTTTCTTCTTGCAGCCTCGTCACAGGCTAACGTTGGCTCCTGCAGCACCGGGAAGGGAGCCTCACTCGAGGATAAAGTGCTCCTTCTGACCCCTAGCCGGAAACTGGGAGAGCGCTGGAGCACGGGTGGGCGGCTAGATGTGCTCGAACGCTGGAACAAGGCACGGCAGAAGCCGTGGACTTTCGCCATTTCGGCCAGCTACTCGTGGGGCAAAGCCGTTGGAAAGGGGGTGGGGCCGGCCTGAGTGTCCCCGCCCACTCCATGACATCCACTGTGCGCATGCTCATTTCCCCGTAATGCCAGAAGGAGGAGGGACGGAGCAGGGGCCGGGGGAGACTAACCAAGCTATGCAGACGCGCAAACCATGGACGACCATGACCAAGCAGATAGGCGCCTCTGTCTTCTTCGGCGTGTCGTCCATCGCCATCATCACTATCAACAAAGCAGTACTCACCACATTTCAGTTCGTTCTCTAGGTCTATTTAGTGCCCACCACTACTATCTCTCCTTCGCAGGTTTCCATCTTTTCAACTTGTGGGTATCGGGCAGGTGAGTGTATGGCTATGTTACTCAACACTGACTGGTGTTAGCTGTCTTTCCCTCTCTGCTCTACATATATCCCTTCTCTCTTTTGATCATACCTCTGTGTCTCTCTCCTTTCTCCCTCATTTCTCCTTCCCTGCCGTCCCATGTCTGTGCACACAGATGGTTGCCATTCTCATAATCTGCTGGAGTTGTAGAACAGCCAAAGTGGTTACCTTCCCTCCCCCCAGCCTGCATCAGTTCAGAAAGGCAAGCCTCGTTTCCTCTCTAGTTTAGTCGGTCTAGTTACGAACGTCAAATTGACTTCTAACGAATAGGTGTTCCCCCTCCCGATTCTCTACATCATCAATCTGATCTTCGGACTTGGCAGCACCAAGATACTGAAGTAAGTAAAACATATGTAACGACCGACCGAACCTGCACCATGACGATGGAACATCACGTACACCGCAGTTTTTAGCTCGCCAAAAAAGTGGTGCATTCATTCAATACACAGAATAGACTAAGCACAACCAGCTGAAGGGGAGTTCTCATCAGGGAGCTGTTTTGTTTTTCACTGTTGGTGTGTCTATCACCTTCATTCATGCTGTTAGCAATGATTTTTGCATGACTTTGTTATATACCAACTAACAACGGATGTGCTGTCGGACATGGTTTATGTGTCAGCATTTATACCTTATGCTGACCCCTAAATAATGTTAGTCAATCAATACATTTGGTGGGGTTATGCTACATTTCTAACTGAGTTACCTGCACCTGTACCTACACGTCTTGCATATGTGTGTATGTATTGGCTTGGCTAGCTTGACGACACATTCTTGCTACCATTATATAGCGATACGAGCGTGCGATTGTGTGCGATGGAACACATGTGATGGCTAGCGAGTTGACAAATATGGGACGTCGGAAATCTGCAACAAACATCTGGCTTTTGGTGTCCACTTCTTTTCCCCCTTTTGTATGGGACTTGTTGTGTCCTCTCTATTCTTAGCATTATAATAAATGTTCCTATTTGTATGTCTCTCCTCTCTTCTCCACCTATGCCCCTCTACGCATCTGTTCTTCTACCTCCCTCCCTCCTTCTCCACCTCACCCGCCCCCTCCCCAGCCTCCCAATGTTCACAGTACTCAGGAGATTTACACTCATTCTGGTGGCTGTAGGACAAATCGTTCTCTTAGAGTGAGCATATCAACTTTTCCCTCTCTTTCACTCACTTATTTTTCCTCTCACCCTCCCTCTCTCTCACTCCCCTCCTTCTGCCTCCGTTTCACTCTGCCTAATACACACACTCAACTCTCCTCTTTCTCTTTCTCCTCTCTATACCCATCTTTTGCACTGCAATCTCTCCTTCTTCCTCCCTCTCGTCTCATCTCCATCACACAGCAAGTATGAAAGTCTACAAGTCAACACATGTCTAGTACTAATGATCACAGGAGCTCTCATTGCTGCACTGTTAGTACGCATACGCCATACACAAGACTGATTCTCTGCTCTCAGTAAAACTGCTTTTTGCTTTACTCTGCTTTTCATAGAACTTACCCCTCTTCCTTGTTCTTCTCTCTCTCTCTCCTCCCTCTCCCTTCTCCCTCTCCCTTCTCCCTCTCTCTTCTCCCTCTCCCTTCTCCCTCTCTCTTCCTTCCCCTCTCCCTCTTCCCTTCTCCCTCTCTCTTCTCCCTCTCTCTTCTCCCTCTCCCTTCTCCCTCTCTCTTCTCCCTCTCCCTTCTCCCTCTCCCTTCTCCCTCTCTCTTCTCCCTCTCCCTTCTCCCTCTCCCTTCTTCCTCTGCCTTCTCCCTCTGCCTTCTCCCTTTCTCTTCTCTCTCTCCCTTCTCCCTCCCTTCTCCCTCTCTCTTCTCCCTCTCCCTTCTCCCTCTCTCTTCTCCCTCTCCCTTCTCCCTCTCTCTTCTCCCTCTCCTTCTCCCTCTCCCTTCTCCCTCTCCCTTCTTCTCCTCTCCCTTCTCACCCCTCTCTCTTTCCTCCCTCTCCCTTCTCCCCTAATCTCCCCTCATCCCCTTCTTCCTTTCTTTGCCTTCTCCCCTTTCTCGTTCTCTCTCTCCCCTTCTCCCTCCGTTCTCCCTCCTCCCGTTCTCCTTCCTCCCTTCGTCCCTTCTCCCTCTCCCTGATCTTACTCTCCCTTCTCCTGCTATATCCTTCTCCCTTTCCTCTGTCTCATCGCGTCCTACGTCCCTTCTCCCTTCTGCGCTTGCTTCACCTCTCGCCTTCTGCTCCTTCTCGGGCCTTCTTCCTTCTCTTCCCTCTCTGTGTCTTCTCCCCTCTCGATCCCTCTTCCCCCCTTTCTCCTCTCGTCTACCACCCTTCCCTTCCCCCCCAACCCCTCGCCCCTCCCTCTCCCTCTCTCTCTCCTCTTCCCTTCTGCACCTCTCATCTTCTCCTCGTCCCATCTCCCTCTCCTCCCTCTCCCCTCTACATCTCCCTTCTCCTCTTCCCTTCCCCTCTCTCTTCTCCCTCTCCTTCACATCTCCCCTCTCCCTCCTTCCTCTTTCTCTCCCTTTCTCTTCTCCTCTCTCCCTTCTCCTATCCCTTCTCCCTCATCCCTCTCCTTCTCCCACTTCCCCTTCTCCTCTCCACTTCCCTCCCTCCCGACCTCTTACCCACCCCATCCCTCTCCCCCTCCATTCTCTCCTCTCTCTGACTTAATATACCTACACCTGTTCACACAGAAACGATTTGGCCTTCAATTTAACCGGTTATATCTACATCGTTCTCAACAACTTCGCCACGGCTGGCAATGGTATGTCTGAGAAACACTCCCGTGGTTCCAATTTGTGTGTATGTGTCCTGGAAGTTAACCAGGAAATGAATCATGTGGTGGCGGGAAATTGCAACCAGGAAGTGGCTGTTTTGTTCAGTGATCATACGTACTTTCTGGTCGTAAATTCGCTAAATGATCGAGCCATGTTTACTTACAATCAGACTGCTGTGAACATACACACTGTGATTGCCTCTAACTAGTATTTTGAGGTTCATTGCAGAGCAAAAATTCCAATTTACAGTTTAATAACCCAAAGCCTGAACAGCACACTTGGAAAATTTAGGAACATCGTTTCGCCGAAAAAGAAGCGTGATACATGTAAAGTTGGACAACATACCCAATGTGCATATACTGTAGTTTAGTATGCACTGTACTGGAAATCATCCCGCTCCGAGCACCAGGTTATTATCTATGGAAGTATCTACATGTATGTAACTATAGAGACGTTGACCATGGAAATGTATGGTGTTGATAGCTCATTACCTTGGCCACCGTTTCCGTCTACTGGCAGATTTTCTCAGAAACCTTCATCACCGAAATCATCAGCCTCCACGGTAGAACCCAGACACCAGCCGCCTGCCTTTTCCCTCACCCAACGTACATTCCAAAGTGATGATGTCACCGCTGTTATGGATACCGGTTGCCAGACAACGTGAATGCGCCCCCATGTCCCAGTCACACGCCCAAAACCTCAGTTCTAACCCGCACCCCTCAAAAGGAGCATTTGTGGTTGCGCCCAAGAGATGGCGGAATGCTCACCTCTTTTCTTACCCTTTTGTCCCGTCCGGCGACCTTGGCAGGCAGCGGTGCTGTGGTTTTCTCCCAGCAATGAGCACTGAAACAGCTTTAGACAAATTCAGTGCTTATAAGTCACTATTTGGTCAGACGACTGCTGAATGGTAGCTGTTTTTTCCCTGGATCGAGTGGCGAGTTTCTTGGGAGAAGAATTTGGCCACTAACGAAAACAGCCTTGTTTTGTCTTGTTTTGTGCAGTGCTTTTGCGTGTGTTTTGTGTGGCGTGTGGGAGAGAGAGAGAGGAGAGAGAGAGGAGAGAGAGAGAGAGGGAGAGAGATGGGAGGGAAAGAGAGAGGGGAGGAAAGGAAGAAGGGAGAGAGAAAGAAGGGTAGGAAAGCAATGGGAAAGAGAATTGTTTCTAAAAATACCACCACATAATTTAGTCACATATGAGAATGTGGTATATATATAGTAGCATTACAGTAGGCCATATTTTGACCATCGGGTCACCCACGCTGTCTACGGAGATGGCGTATTAGAGTGGGTGTATGTTGTGCCAAGTGGCGGGTTTACTGTACCCAAACCTGTCCTTTAACCCCTCCTCTACACATTTTGTGTGATTGTAAATTTTTCTGTGTGTTTATAATAACACAACACAATATCTTCAGTGAAGTCAGTGCAAATTTTAGGAAAAATTTTTGGGTGGGTTAAAAATAAGTATGTGAATCATGAACACTGACCAACCGTGTTAGGCTGAGGTCGTGGTATATTGTCTGTTCTGTTCTTTTCTTGCAGTCTTGTACAGCAAGAAGATGATGAATGAGGAGGTAACTATTGTAGTTGGGATTTTTGTAGGAAGAAAATTCAGGGGGGCAGGGGGAGTAAATTTCAGGGGGCAGGGGGGACTTACTGAGGGGAACCTAAGTGAACATTTTGCAAGTGGTACAGTCTTCAGAGGGATTGAGGAAAGACCCGTGTACATTCATGAAGCTCTGTTCATCACATAGTTGTTGTCGTCAAGTCGACGAGCCCTTCCTAGTCCGTGAACCATGCGCCGGTGTTTGCATGCAAACACTGCTGATGGATTTTGGCTCTGCAGCCAAAACCGAGACGTTTTTTTAATCGTCTAATACTTATATTTGGCGTTTTGTTGTCGTAATTGTAATTGAACAGAGGAATTGTTTACATTTGAAATTATTGGGAATGAATCTACGCCCACAGCTTCGTGAACCATTGTTGTTCTGAGTTGCAAAGCTATGTATAGGAGTTGGTGGGTGTGTGGTATGTTACATAAGGATACTAGGATGGCTAGTGTGTTTTCAATTCAGCTTATTGTATCGTGGCTAATGTTTATTGTGGGCATCTTTCAATTGGGATTCTGTTGTTTATGGTATCCAGATTTCTTGTACCAGCCAATAAATTACCATTCACCGATCATTTATCTGTGTAATTATAAAGCCGCACTTACCCATAAAACTTATAGGGACTTGTATATCTTTCTGCTGTTTTTAATTTATAATATATCTATAATCCTCGTTGCAGATGGGAAAGTACGAGATAATGTTCTACAATGCCCTGTTGTCCATTGGACCAGCTATTATTATTGCCTGGGTCACTGGAGACCTTCAGAAGGTATAGTAATGACCCACTGCTGCACCAGCTTCTTCCTTTGTTGTGACTGAATGGAGGGGAGGCAGTTTTTCGTTTTTGTCTCTCTCCTAATAAATACAGCCGTAGCGCGACATTTTAAAACCGCAGGAGTTTGAAGTCGCCGTTTTACACAGATAATCTGCAGAAACGAGAGTTTGTAATGTGCAAAGAATTTTTCTTCTAAATTCGTGATTGTATGAAAATGCAAAGCTTCTAAACTCCTGATTGTATGAAAATGCAAAGCTTCTATACTCCTGATTGTATGAAAATCGCTCTCACGGTGAAAGTTGCGTTGTGTATATATGTGGTTGGACTATGGAGTAAACTATAGAGTATAGCATGGGCCTACCCCTTACTACATGTATATCACACATGTTATGCTTGATTGCGCAAACTGTCACTGTCACTTGTGTGTGTCTCTCCTTCAGACGGACCGGACTTGCGCTATTTTTGGAAGCATCATCTGTTACCAAATGTCCCGCGTGGCTATATATAGTAGGTGGGCCTGGGAAGGAATTAGAGGTGTGTGGGCCGTAGTAAGTTCGCCAAATACGGAGCCGAACTTGAACCAACTATTTGCAGGTTTCTCTACATATACGAAGAAGTCTACATCATGACCGCAAGTGTAAATGTAGCCATAAGGACGGTAGTGCCAATCCGTGCGTGCCGGGGTATATCAAATGATTTAAGATTTGGGCAGTATTTTGCTGCATCTTCCTGAAGTGGTACCACAATTTTCCCCCTCCTCCTTTCGTGCATTCCTCACTCGCCGAGGTCGACAGTTCTCCATTTCCAGCAGTCGATGCTTGCCCCCATTATGGGGCTGTTTACTAGAAATTTAAGTGTGCACAGATGTGCTTTCCGGCGTGCATGGTCAGAGTCGGTTGAAATGGACGGAGAATGTAATAACGCTGCGGCTGCTAAAACTCCATTCCTACTAGAACGACATTTTGAATTTCAACCACTGGATACGCTTGCACTGAAAACTCCCTCTTTTTCTCTCGTCTCTCACTTTTGGCTGTTAAATTGGATTACGATTACGTATCGTCTCTCGTGGCTTGCACAGGTTTTAATACAGGCCAGGCCGGTGCTACCGAATTAGTTGCTAGTTTCCAGACAATGTCGAGGATTATCGCTTCGTCAGTTGCATGAATGCAGTGCTAAGTTGAATCAATTTCAACGGCCTCGATCGGTTAGCACGATCCATACAGTACCAGGCGGGGGATAGCACAATAGTGCATTGTCATAATATGCAACATTTCTTCCTAATCAAAGGATGGCTAAGGCATGCTTCGGTCACGTGCATCCTCTCCATGCGACCACTGATCTTGTCTTAGCTCGTTTTTGCATGCGTCAAAACCGAGAGGTCTAGAAGAACTGCATATTCTTCTTCCAAATAAAAATTAGTAACCTAGAAGAAAGCTTAGTTTGAAATACGGCGACAACATTGATGTCAGGCTCATTTGAAGTTGTAGCTCACAAAGAAGGAAGCACTTTTAGTGTAATAAGAGTCTACTTGACCGTAACTACAGCAGTGCCTGTGGTCTGTATGCGTCCCTCCGTGAATGAATGTGTGCTGAGTGGGTAGGAGAGTGTCGCAGGTACGTAGCATTGTAAACAGCCCCACGTGTTGATAAACACACACAATGAGCGGCAAAATGTGACCGCCGGTGTGTCCGGCACCCTGCCATCCCATCCTGGAACCCAGTCTATACAGGAAGCAGCCGTCGGAAAACCTGAAGTCGCGTATGAAAAACGCACATCTGTCTGCCTCTCTGACGCTGAAAAGATTCCGCGACCACTTCCTCCGGCGCCAGATGTGACTCTGAAATGGCTGCCGCTGTCGGACTAATAACTGTTGCCCGAAGCGAGCGCCTTTTTTCCACCAGTTCTAGGGGGTCTTCTCGGCCATATGCACTGGTTGTTTTGAGTAATTGCTAAACTGGTGCTGTGGTGAGTTCCAAACAGGAAAACCTTGAACATCTGTGACCACATAATTCCAGGTCGACCTAGCTGATTATGATTGGACACAAGTGGCCCGACTTTTGTGGGTATGGCTTCCGAGCTGTTGTGAGGCCTCTCGGATTTGAAATCCTGGTCAGAGGTCGTTTCCTGGGAGATGTAATAAGAGAGAGATACATCATTCCTTAATTGTGGCCACTTCATAATCTGATGCAGCCGGTCCCTACTACTCTTTTAATCATGAAGGAGTCCGGTCTTTTTGATAACCCTGTTCAACAGTAAGCACTATATTCCATTGTTGAGCATAATTATGACTGCTCGTTGCGTAGCATTTTCGTTGAATTACTGTCCGTTTTTTTTTAGTTTGTTGCCGTATGCATTTGCGCACCGATAAATTCAGCCTGCTCAGTTGTAAGTGTGGTTGTGTTCTGGATCAACCGACAACCTTCCCTCTCCTTTGCTAAGTCCTCCATGCCAAGTAACACCCCCGCGCTCAAAATGTACTTGTGTGCCCACAAACCTTAAAACAGGTTACCCACATTGCGTACCAGCTGATTAAACCCGCCTGTATCGGGTATGTTGACTTGGCTGCGCAAGACGTAAACTAGTTCTTCCTGTTTACGAACCGTCGAAAGTTGGGGGAGGTGATGCTCCTAACCAAGAGAGCTCACCAAATTTATCTTTTGGTTGGTTGGCCTTAATCTTGTTAGCTGTTGGTAAGGGAAGGTGGACAGCCCGTTCTCTGCTGCCTCCCTATGGTGTCTTGGCATGACGCTTCGTGTCATGTGTGGTTTGTGGGTGTGGCAAGTTTGTTCCCTTGGAATCGCTGCCTCGCCCGTTCGTTGTCCTTCTTGTCTGCGGTTGTCTGTCTCGCTTGCTTCCCACCTTCCTCCCTCCCTTCCTCCTTACTCTCTCCGCAGACACATTTCCCTTCTAAACACCTAATGCTCTTTATACATAAAGACAAAACAATAGCTGTCTCTTCCTCCCTCCCGCCCTCCCTTCCTCCCTCCCTCCCTCCCTCTCTCTCTTCCCTTTCTCTCCTTCCCCCCTTCCCTCACTCTTTTCTTTAGGCGTACTATTACAATGGTTGGTCGAATCCTCTTTTCCTCATCTGCTACCTCCTCTCATGTGTCATGGGGTAAGCCATACGTATTGTTGATTCTATTGTATACATATACCTCCTATGCATATACCTCCTTCTATTAAAATGGTACCGCCTCCTACATATAATCGTAATCGTGTTGATATCTCTTTACAATGGGAGCATCTATATCCGTCCAAAGTCGTCGTTTGAACACTGACAACTAATATACTGCCTGTTATAGACCGTTCCAATTGGGCCTTTCAGCAACTTGGAAGCCTTAGCCCAGTCTGCATGCTGGGAATTAATGACTTGAGTGACTTTTGAAACGGCAACAAAACCTCGGCAATGTACACACACGCACACTGCCCTGCCTCACCTCCATGTCTCTTTCCTTGTTGTACCTGGAGCAGCTCATTAAGACATGCCTTCCAGATTGCCGATTTATTGGCGTAATGCACACTTGCATCACTGCTGCATCTTTACAAAAGGTCTGTTTGCTTTACCAGAGCTGCCCCACCTTAGAATCCTCCTAGACTCATCTCAATTACTCTCTCGCTTCCTCTCTCTCTCTCTCTTGCCCACTCCCTTCTTATCTATCTTTCTCCTCTCTCTTCCCCCTTCTCTGTCCTCCCTCCATCCCTCTTCTCTCCCCTTCTCCATAGTTTCGTGTTGATCTACTCTACGTTCCTCTGCACTCAGCTAACCTCTCCCCTCACACTAACAGTTGTGGGGTGTATCAAGGTAAGTATTATACATACATACATATGCAGCATGGTTCCTGAATGGATATATATATAGGCACCATGGAGGAATAGAATTTGGAAATAATGCATTTTGAATTGGTGTATGAGGTTGTTGAAAGAGTGGGTGTTTGGGTATATGAAAGAGTGGGTGTTTGGGTGTATGAAAGAGTGGGTGTTTGGGTTTATGGTAAAATGGGTGTTTGGGTTTATGGAGAAGTGGGTGTTCCGGTACATAGCCACGTTGTGTCTTTACCGTGAGAGACACACATGAAGTAGTTCCTGCATTTGGAACAGTAACCAGGTCTCCACTAATAAAATTTACCAGGAAGGCAGCTAGCTCTCCACCAGGTGTCAGTGGTCACATAGCCAGCTAATAGGATCATAAGAGGCGTAGTCCCACCACAAACGAGCGAGGTCTCACTTCCCCGCCGTTGGCGTAGCCAGAGGACGATGCAGTCGGCATGCAGGAGCTACCCGGGCCCTTAGATCAGGTGTAGGTTTGGCAGCGACCCAGCTTGCACCAACCCAACTCTTTGTGGGCCTGTCAATGGCAAAGTAGGCAGCAAAGGAGGATTCCCAGTCCCATTACGCCGCCCAAACAACACTTAGGGTGTTGGTATAATATTATACTCCCTGATACACAGCGCACACACACACACTCAGCACGTTCCTCTCCATATACATCGTGAGTGAGTCTAGCTCGGTATCAATTCATTTCGCACGAGACTTGCCTCTAACCCTGTTGTGGCTGGGAGACTCTTTGCAAGTCAATATCGATTTTTTTATTGGTCATCTCCTACACTGGATTTTCTCTTTTGTGTGGTGGTGATATATTTGCACAAGTTCCAAGCCACATCTGGAAACCTACACTCTCCCTGAACACACAGTCTGTTGTGTGTGTTATTGGAACCTCCAAATAATAAAGAGGTTTCCTTGGTTCAGAGGTTAAGCAAGCAACATAGAGTATCGGACTGAAACAAGTGTCCTTTATAGTAATGGTCATTATATTAAAGGTTCCACTGTATGATAAATATGTGAGAGAAAACTGCCGTGTTCAAATTATTATGATGGAGTTTTATCTTAGAAACGACTTACATTTTGTCTATATTATAGTAATCAATCAGCATGGAGGGATTAAGATTTGTGTTACGTACTGTGGACCACCATGTGTCTCATTGTTGTCTGTCCCGCTGTCTTGTCTAGAATGTGGCAGTCACCTATGCCGGAATGCTGTATGGAGACTATATCTTTGATGCTTATAATTTCGTCGGAATCAACGTCAGGTGAGAGCTACAGTTGTCACGGGACCGTGAAGATTATCTCGTTTACTTGTTCCGAGGTTTGGCAATACAACATTAAGGGCCATATTTACGTAGCACTGAGTGGTGTTTTTCAGATTGCTGCACTACTGCAACTTTGTGAAATTGGTGTATATATATATACGAAATCATCGCTGTCGTTAAAGGTCATTTGGACAGGATGCGACCCATCCTTTGATGTGTACATTTTTGAACCTTCAATTTCAGTGTCAGAGCGCCCCCGAATGGACGAGCCCCCGTCGAACCCCCGAATGGACGAGCCCCCGTCGAACCCCCTACAGAGCCATTACGTGTGTAATAAAAGGGGCAGCAATGGATTTCACTAGAAGCTATTGTCGTCACAGGCATAATTGATATATGTAGATTGTGGTGTAGGCAGCACCTCAGCCACTTGGTGGGCAGCAGAGAATGTGCGGCTCTGCCAAATGTCCCTATTACTCAGGGGTCATTCTCGCGTGTACTACTAATGAGCCTCTACTGTGGTGTGGCACATAGGACAGTATTATCGTGATAGTGCTAGGTTTTTAGTAAAGCCTCTACTGACCTTATCATGTCCCCCTTTGTGAAATGCACTGTTCATCATTTGGCTATCTAGCTATACGCACTACTTTCAGTGCAAAGTGGAGAGAAGTCGAAATCCCACTACTAAGAATTGATCTGCACAGACTTAATTCAAACATGAAGCATGACAGAGCAAACACACTGATATGACAGAAGTGAGATCTGATTGAAAATCGATCCAACCATAGATACACAGTAGCTCTGCAGAGTTAGATAGGAGCTTTGCTATGTGAAAAGGCCTACAGTTGCAAAGGTTTATTAATCCGAGGGGCTTGCAAGGTGTCCTGCTATATACTGCGAGTGGATTGGGCCAAGTGAAGGGTTAACAGGAACTGCAAGAAGATTGTAAGAACAGGATCAGTTCAGTTCTGGGGTTAGGATGTGTGCTAGAATCTCGAAGCACATTGCCCAAGGAACTTCAGAATCATTCTCAATGCAGAGCAAATATATCTGCAATCTCTATTAAACCCTTTGGACGCCATGGGGATCTGCTTAAATAAGCATGTATAGTGTATTAGCGCCTAGCATTATAACCCCCATACAAATTCTTATGGACTTATGGAGGCTCTGGACACATAATTTTATGTGTCCGTGGCTGGTTAAGTGTTAAGCAACTGTCCCCAAATTTAGAGCCTCCCCTGTAAATCACTTTAAACCTGTGAATCATCTGTAAAGGGCGTTTTGTCACGTCATCCAACAGCAGTGCTGTGTTTTTGTTCGCGAGTGTTTACTAGCAACGTATCGAGTTTTCTGCTCTATTATACCACACGTGGTAAGTTGACTGTGTGGTTAGTGATGAGTATTGCTGGCTGTCACTCTAGATATCGTTCGTGAAATGGATCCAAAGACTGGTGTCTGAATATTTTAGAAATGCTTGTGCTGCCTACAGCATCAAATAACCTATTGAATCCCTGCTGACATGGCAGGCAGATTTTCCTGCTTTTCTTTCCGTTTTTCTCACTGTTTCCCTCTTTTTCTCTTTTCTTATAACCTGCAGTGTTGGAGCAAGCCTCATATACTCATACTACAAGTATTCAGAACAAAACAAAAAGCCTCCACCTCAAAAGACAACTAAAAGTGACACAAGCTCATAAACAATTATTTTCTATTGAAATTGTGTTGTTTCCTCACCTTTTATGCATGCAGCACCGCGCACGCGATGCGGAGAAAACGCATGCGCATGTGGACCGCACATTAAAAAATTGCGCGGGCGCGGTGCATGTCGGGTTTCTTCAGCGGCTCGGCGCACGCTATAAAACAGTCTGTTTCGCGTGCCAGAGCTCAGCTTTCTGCAGAAACAGACAAGTGACTAGTGGAGCAGCCATTACTGGATCCACTGTAACGTTCCAAGCGGTGAAAAAGGGACGGCACTTTTACTGCGCTCGCGTCGCCTGTATTGCTATGCCTGAGATCTGGGCTCTGACTGGAAAAATGCAGCAGCAACAACAACAACAAACGGAATACGGGAACAGCACAACCACCACCACCACCGGCGCCATCATGGAGGAAGGAACACACGAGTACAAGACGGTGAGTGTTTGCGCAGCTCCAGCGAGCTGACACGTGGTTGTTCTGCATTTCTGCTGACTAGCCTAGCGAGCTACCACATATCTGAAACACCTTCTGTGCAAGCACCGTGAAAAACCTGCATATTTAACGAGATCATCTCCCCCTCTCTCCTCCTTCCTCAGGACCAGCAGAGGACTTTTATCGAGACGCTTCTACCGCACGTCCGCTCGTTCGCCTTCACGTGGCTCAACCTGCAGGCTCGCAAGAGGAAATTCTACAAGGAACACGACCGACGCATGACTCTGGACGAGGAGCGACAATGCAAGTTGGAGCTGGACAACGAGCTGCCGGAGGTGAAGCGAAAATGGGCCTCCCAACTTCTGGCCAAGCTGCGGAAAGACATTCGCCCCGAGCATCGCGAGTATCTCCTCAAGGCCGTCACCGGTCAGATGAGGCCTTGTTGCGTCCTCTCCACGCCCGACCAGAAGGGAAAGATGCGCCGCATCGACTGCCTGCGACAGGCGGACAAGGTGTGGCGACTGGACCTAGTCATCGCCATACTCTTCCATGCCTTTCCGCTCGAGTCAACGGACGGCGAGCGTCTGGGAAAGACGCACGACTGCCGGAACCCAGGGCTGTGTCTGCAACCCTTCCACATCCAGATCACAGTCAAGGAGCTGGATCTTTACCTCTCCAACTTCGTCAGCCCCTTAGGTATGCTACCACAGCTGCTCCTGAAGCTCTAGGCTCGGGAGAGAGTATAGCGTGGGGGCGTGCGTGGTAGCCAGTTAGCAGGCTCGGGTTGCACGTCAAGGAGTGTTTGCGGTGCGGCGGACCGAGATCGACTGATATCGCCGCGTTCCTGTGTTGTGTGTGCAGGTGTGAAGCGAGAAGAGGACCTGAAAGTGAGGGAAAAGACTCTGCAGAACCTCAGGATCAAGGGAGCCTTCACTGCCCAGGAACTCTACGAGGGTCATCGAGGTAAAATATTTAGCCTCAGATTTTGTTTGATTCATGGTAGCAAGAAAATATTTTTTGGCAGTAAGCCTTATTTGATTCTCTTCTCCTCCACATTTGCACCTGCTGTGTGGGCGGGGTTTATGCATTCTAAGGCTTTTATTGTCTGACCCTTAGGCACGTAGTAACTAAGTGTGCTCTCTCTCGACTATAGTGTGTCCCACTCAATAGTCTACATCTTTCCTGAGCACATGCAGAGAATAGTTTCTAATTACACCCACAAGGCATCCCGAATCAGTGCAGCGGTAGTAAACAGTACTCCAAAAGCAGCCCCTGTAAGAGTCGAACATGCCGGCTTCCCTGTGTCGCTCTGTGTTTAGACTAGGGGACAATGTACGTGCATATGGTTCTCAAATCCCACCATACCATCTTTGTTTCCTTCCTCTCTATTGCCCGTAGTGCCCGTGACAGCTGGCTACAGCAGCGAAGATGTCCACAGCTACTTCCCAATCATGTGGCCGTACGACCGGCCAATCAAGCGAACCCACGCCGCTCTGGATCCATACCCCATCATGGACTATTACACACACCTCCAAGTCCCAACTGCTCCAAAGTATATGAAGCCCGAACCGATAGCCTACTACCAGTATCCGGAAGACCCAGAGCGATACCAAGCTAGTATCACTGTCAGTGTGCAGTCGCACGTCAACCCCTTCAGCAGCACCTCAACCAGTGCTGTAGCTTATTCACCTTCGACTCAGTACAGCAGCTACTCTTCCAGCCCGATCCCCGCAACCCTGCCAACCACGGCGTCGTATCCTGTCATGAATCCAGGGAGCTCGTCCGCTTCTGCAGCCTTGGCCGTCGGGGGCGTGGCTTACAGCGTCCACACGGGAGCCGCGATGTGCGGAGGGGCGACTGCTGCAATTGGTGGTGTGGGGGGAGGGAGCGGCATCACGATCTGCTGCCCGCCAGACCCCCAGCAAGCCATGAGCAGCTGTAGCCCAGTCCGAAGTGCGATGGGGGACGACTCCTCAACCAGACCCACCGAACACTGCACCAATGCAATCGGGACCCCGCTGACCCCGCCCCTGAGCGTGTCTCCGCCCATCAGCTCGTCTCCGACTCCACGCCAGAGCATTTCCCCGCAACCCAGCAACACCACCTACCTCGACAAGGAGACTGCCATGGGTTATCGATCGAGCACCTCCAGTCCCTGTATCCCTGATTGCGATTCAACCACTAACGCCTCTGAGCTACCTCTTCAGATGCTCTCTGAATTATCCGAAGGTCTTCCACTGACCGGCACTTGTGTATAGCAGGTGTGTACGGTGCACCACTAAGTATGGCAGTACTATTTATTTACGGTATAGGGATGGGCACAATAGTACGTATACACATATGTACATGGATGGATCGATGTGTGGGTTAAGGTATATAGGCTTGTGTTTTGTAGCAAAAGGGTATATAGCTCATTGCAGTGTTGGGTGTTGGCTTATATACCCTGTAACTGATTAACCTCCCTGTACTAGTGTTTAGCCAACACAGAAGTATCGTGTGTAGCCGTGGTAACGATACACATGCAATGATCCATTGTTTATTCCCTCTCGGTTCTTTTCCCCTCAGATTTGAAGATTTCCCACAAGACTGAGTCTCTACCTCTATCAGTCTTCACTCGTAAATGGTATGTCTCTCTTTCCTCTCATCTCTAGAATTATACATCCTTCAACTTAGTTTTAACACTGTTTCGTATTATTATTCCGCCTTCACATTGTTGATGTTTTTTTGCAGGTATGTATGTACATTAAAGAGAATCAGAAATTCCCGACAGACATACAAACAGACAGACCGACATAAGGAATCTACAGTTCATCTTGCCGTAAACTGACCAACTCGATCGATCATTCAGCAAAAATTTCACTTTTTCGACGTTTTGTACAGTCACTCCAATCATACTCCATCTAGAATTCTTTTCACTGCGCACCGCATTTTTTTTACCCACTAATGCATCATTACACATTGGATTGTCTCTCTCTCTCTCTCTCTCTCTAAAAATCCATCTTCTAAATTTTTCTATTATACAGTCTTTCTAACTACAGGTTTCTTCTTATTTTTTTGTATCTTAGACCAAATATCACTGAATTTTTAATTTTCCATCTATTTTACTGTGTGTAGTGTAAATAACTGTTTTCCTAAAAATCACCAGCAGTTGACAAAAAAACAAATGTGGTTGCTTAAAATAAGCGTTAGGGTATAATCGAGCAATTTAAAATCTTGCACAGCGTGCCTATATATATACTTGCTCCACTTCATCTTAAACTGAAACTAGTTTATCGGTTCCAAGTGCTGTACAGGGACTGGAGGTGCTCGATCGATAACCCATTCCGTATAAACTAAATTCCTCTCTTCTGCTTTGCCTCTCGTTCATCTAGGGATATATATATACCGTTTCAAATCTCTGAAAGGTTACTATGTGACGTCACTGAGTTTATAAAAAAACAAATCCTTCATTTATTTTGTCAAAATAATAATAATAATGCAAATTAGCATGTGTGTGTGTGTCTGTGCTAGACGATGTCCAAGTGCTGATCCAAAGGTTCCAGTTTGGTAAGTTCCGACATGATTCTGACCCTAGGACCCAGGGGTATCCCGAGGATCTCGAGATGGTCGCCAGTCATCTGGTGCAACTCTGCCAGACTTATCTGGTGGACCGCAAACGTCTAGCGAGCAGACAGACAGACGAGAACAGTCAGAGAAAAAGTGAAATACAACAGTACTGATGTTCAAGTGAACATTTCACCGAAAAATGTGATATTTTCACAATTATGCTCAACAAAGGCAGACAGAATGTTTTATTAGCCCTGATACATAGAAAGAAGACGCGTGGATATATTATAACTTAATAGCTTTATTAAATCAAGGCAAAACTGACAAAGATTGTTGGGAACTTGACTAGCATCAGCTGCTGTACTAGAGAAAAAGCTCAAAAACAGTTCCCTGGACTTTATTCCTCTACCGATTTGTGCGTAGTATAATTCTGTTTCCCGTGCTGGGATTGCATCAGTATAACTGTTTGCACACACTGGAACACTGTACACTGGAACGTAAGAATCATTGTCTGTTTCCAGGGCTGACATCACTGTGTTTCCAGGGATGACATCACGGTGTTTAGATGAGCCTTCAGCCCCCTATCCGTGCCCAAGGGCGGTTCAGCCACTCGGGTTGCCACCAAAGCAAGGAAGCAATAAAACGCCTAATGCAATTGTCGACTGCAGCAACGAGACACTCTGCCAAAAACCAATCTGTTTTCTCAACATTTTGTGTGTTGTAAAGAACGGTGAGATTCGCTGTCGTGTTGGTAATGAAGTCAGAACGTACACCTGTTACACAGACGTCTAGAAATGCAAAGGTGGCGAGCTATAAATTATTGTACATTTCCTGGCTTACACATAATATGTCACCTCGGTGGAGGTGTATGTATAATGTATTATTTATCTTTCCTCAAGGGCTGTGTGATCCCTGGGGTTTCAAAAGTGGCAGACGAATGAGCTATGATGTCGTCTCTTGGTTATGCAACGTTATGTAATCGTCTCATCCCATAACTAGCTGACCCACCAAATGCAGCTATATAAGATTCATGCCGATAGAAAAAAAGGGAGGGCTCATATATAAATATATACTCACAAACCTGTGAATTAAAATTCTCAAAGGGGCACTTTATATCTTACATCCAACCATTGCAGAGAGATGATGTAATGCCCTTGTACGTTTTTGTATACGTGCTATATTATACAACGATTGGTTGATAAACAATTTGGTGGTTTCAAAAGTAATGTACAGCCCAAGGGACTGGCGGTAATAAAAGTGTCATTCCTAAAATACTTCAGACGGCACACACATAATCACTCGATAGGGGCCCGGTTTCACAGCAATGCTAATCACAGGGGAGCGAGCGCACACACACGCAAAAATGGCTCTAATGCAGTGCGTATCTGTTAAAACTGTGTTTATAAGCAGATATCGACTCGGATTTCTAGCCAGGGCTCAAGTTGCCCTGCTCATGTTGACAGAGCTATTTTGCGGGCAATGGAGCATCCGGTGTGAACTCGACGGCCCATTACATCGAATTATGCACTGCTTTTGTTTATTCTGTTGAGCTATTATTTTGCAATATCTAGCGTTTTATTACTGTCAGGATCTCTAACCGTTTAGCAACACAGTGCTATTTTTTGTGCTTTTATATGCAGTTACAGTGACAAAAACGCACACATGAGTGTGTTCATTAACTATGACATAATTGCGTGTGATTATTACATCATTCCTAAACGGGAATCAATGGGGATGATATGTGCCTGGGTGTGTTCAATCACAGTGCAATACACCACACACAAAACAGCACCAAAGCATAAATATCCTCAATCGTAACTTCATTACCTACACGCCGAACTGCTCGGGAAATACAATCACAGTCGCCATAAAGGGAAGGTATCACACAAAAGGAACAACATGTGTGTGTGTGTACGAACACACTCGGCGGTGTCGTCATGCGGACGAACGTGCGGACCACTACCGAGTCGCTTGTAGCAGCTGCCGTGCGGCGAGCTATTGCGCCATCACCGTCAAGTTATGGCCGAATTCCTGTGGCCGGCGTAATGAAGAGAGACATGCATAGACACGAGGGCACGGTGCCAAGTCGGCGAAGTAGTTCAGAGAGAATTACTCAGTACTCACTAGCAACTGACGCACTCCCTGTTTACAAGAACTGTGTGTTCCTCGTGTCCCGCAAACACAAGGCTTTTCCACGAAATGTCATCAGGTAATGGGGCCGGAATTCAAGGTCGATGCAGCCACAACCGGTAGTGTGCTGTGTGATTGAGTCCTGATTGCATGGTTACAGCGTTTCCACACACACACACACTGTTGGGGGTTATGGGGACTGTATCTACCACAAGGTAGATAGAGGAACTGTGCAAGGGGAAGTACGGACATAGTAGGGAAATGACTCACTGCAACGTTAGTTGGCCATGTAGGCTCTTATTTAAGGCACACGGGCTCTTACCACATGGGCTCTTACCGGGAGCAGGTGTGAATAGCCCAGTCCCTCCAGAAAGGTCTTGATGGTCTCAACTCGCGGAGGTTCCTCTCCGAAAAACTTGCTCACTTTCTTGAAACTCGAGTGAGGGCCAGTCATGAATGGTCCGTGGAGGCTGGCATCACTGTTAGCTCTCTGTGTTGGGGAGGAAAAGGACAGAGAGAGGACAGAGAGAGGGAGGGAGGAGAGAGAGGGGAGAGAGGGGGAGAGAGGAGACAAGGGGAGACAGGAGGAGCGGGAGGGGAGAAGAGAAATAGGATGGGTTGAGACAGGGAGAAAGAAGAAGAGAGAATTGATGGCATGCCAAAAAGAGGGGGAGAGTGGGTGTAGGTTATCCATCCCTGCCAGCTTGCAAACTACACCTCTGTTTGCAGTAACTGTATACCAAAAATAAACATCGATATCTGCTTCGGGCCTACTCCCTGTCCTATTATATGCGGCCGTGGAGTGTGTTTACAAGCAGCGCTGTCTGAACGCGTACCTGTGGCTCACTCATCTAACCTGATACCACCGAGCGTTAAATAGTTTTTTACTGCCAATAGATTGATTACACGATGAAGAAAGATTTTAAAACAGAGCTTCTGTCGGGAGTCAAACTAAGGCTCACTGGTGGTCCAGTACAGCACCGGTTTAGAACTCAAGAGAATGTGGCAGTATAATAGGAGCTAATGATGGCAATGGGCCCAGTGCAAGACTGATATAAAGTCTTACTTTTTTTAGCAACATTTTGTAACTTGGTGGTAGGTCCTTCGTTCGTTAGTCTGACAGAAATTGTGTTTTTCTCCTTCTCTCTACTATATAAGCCTGTGTAAGCTGACTGTCCAAAATATATTAGATATTAACTTAAACACTACCACATTCCCTATATACATGCCCATTTGCAGCAGTGTATTCGAACTAGTATAAAAAACAGATATCGAAGTGTGGTTCGATCTATAGGAGAAAAACGACATATTGGAGTGGAGAAAGTTTCTAATTGTGTGTAGGTGCCGTCAGGGGTTTTGGTGTGGTGAGGTCGTTGTCCTGCGAATAATTTGATTTTGATGTTTGTTTGTGCAAAATCCTGGCAGGATTTGCGCGTGTTTGCAAAACTGTGTAATTGCATGCACACCACTCTTTGGCCCCACGAGTAGCAGCACGGCATTGTGGCCTGACTACTGCAATAAGAGGGATTAATAATCCTTTAAGCATCTCGCCAAAGATGCATCAAATCCTCGTTTACGTTTTTTCACAATTCTGGCATATAACCGTTGTGTGTGTGTGTGTGTGTGTGTGTGTGTATGTCAGAAGTTATATTTTACAGTGCAAATAAACCAACGTCACACATCTCACCAAAGATTCATCAAAACCTTGTTGAAGTTAACATTTCAAATCCGGCATAAAGGTTGTATGAAAGGAAGTTAATCTTTCCATATAACACCAATAAACAAACATCTATCATGTGGTCTATGGGCATAATAGCTGCAGTTCCAGATAATATCAAGCACTGATGTTATTTTGACGACAACAATACGTAAAAGTTGGAATGCTTATTGCATCAATGTTGACTTTATGAAGAGAACCAACATGCACCTGGAATAATGTTAGAGAGAGCAAATTCCCGATATCCTTACTTCCTCTCAGGTAAAAATGAACACAGCATGTGGTTTTCCTCGTACACAATCGACGCAACTTCTTCTTTCAACGGCCATGCAAGACAGGTGTGCAGCTTGCACCTCTCATAGAGGAGAAGCCGCACGTCAGCTGAACATCCGACCTCCTGTGTGGCGTGCAAGAGGCTATTCCTGACCACCCGTGGGCTCTTCATTATGAACAGCACCAAAAGACATATGGCAAAAAGCCAGTTAAAACGTAAACATCCCCTCGCTGTGAATGTGCATCCTTTTTCAACCAGCGAATCTGCAGGAAAACTTGCATGCACACGTCTGCATGCAACAGAAGACGTGTGGTTATCTCAGGCGCCGTTTTTGTATATCTGTTTAGGCTGAGGTGCTATTTCATCAAAAGTCGCACGCGGTCTGCAGAAACAGTTTCCTATTATGATTTCACAAAATAGGGAAATTAGTACTCATCCTTGTACAATGTATGTGTGTTCAGTATAATATAGTTGCATTAAACATTTATATTTATGGGTAACAACGTATCTGCATAAGTGTTTGCTAATAGATGGTGGTTTGTATCCAGAGCCAGCCATGCCAAAAAGGATGAGCTCCGTGATGTTCATTTATGTAAATCTGCGGCTATACCCGCGTCACACGGTAACATTTTTGGGGAAAAATTACGATGCTCTCTGATTTAGCATATGTCCCGATGAAAGAAAGAGTGTCCTAATAGGTATCTGTGCACATCTAGGACATGTGTGGTCCTGTCTTATTACACCCCTCGTCCCATTCCTGAGGTATTAACGTGAGAAGTATCTGTGTTTTGGCACGGCACCGTGCGGAAGGGGTTAATAAGTGAATTAGGTCACCGCTTGTAGGGATCAAATTGATTGGGAGAACAGCTGCGTGCAGAGGGGGAACACGGTTCCACCGGAATTGAGCGAGCGACCGTATTTGAGGTGGCGAGCACCAATTAGAAGGGTATGGCCGTGGAACCTGAATAAGGTAGCGTCGCTATGGAGCGATATCGTGGGGTCGATCTAATCAAATTCAAGTGCGTCCCGATAGGCAGCTGGTAAAATTAGCCGGTCTTCCGGAGCAGTCATCAACATCATGTGTGACCTGCTGTGAGGAGGATCGTTTGTGTGTGTGTCCTAAAAAGGCGCACGTCCTAACAGTGCACGGAACCGGTTTTGACACAGAGCACTAATCCAATCAAACCAGACCTAAACCTGTCAAAACCCGTTTTATGAAAACCTAATAACTAAACCTACGGCAGATGGTTGTATGCACGCTGCTGCTGCCATGGCGACGGAGGTCAGGGGGAGGGAAGGGAAGGGCCGCGCGGTGATAAGGCGTTGGTCAGGATTAAAGACCCTAAACAAAAGCTGGGCGTGTGGGGGAAGAGAGGGTGAGGGGAAACTGGGGGGCTGGGTGGGGAGAGAGGGGTGAGGGGGAGTGAGCTGGGTGGCTCTGCACCCAAGGCCACAATACCAGCCACAGATATCTCTGACAATCCTAATGGATGCTGGAAGCCATACCCAATGTATACACAGACAAGTGACTGCAATACTATGGCATATAGGCAGCTCCCCACATCCCACCCATGCTTTACGCAGAGCTAAGACTTTGGTCTAGTGTTTGTGTATGCCTACTACAGCGACTAGGAATGTAGAGAGGCCATTGTGAACGAAGACCAACGGTGTGTGGGACAGTCCCCAAGCAGCCCCACCTATAACTCCTCTGTCTGGAGTGAATCAAGAGCTCCGTACATGCCCATCTCCCACCATTTGGCAGCTAGCTCCTCCTCACCAACACTGGCAGTGTAGCTATAGAGAAAAGCTGACACACTATATATACGTACAGCATACTGAAGACCTGGTAGCAAATGAAGGTGGCAACCCTATGTAAAATGTCACTGTTAGCTGTTGGCATAAATGTGCAGAACAAACGCTTTGCGGACAGTAGAGCCCCCCACACAGTGCAATGAGACTCTCGCAGCAGGTATGAATGCCACACGTATACCCATCAACAGTGCATACTGTGTGCAGGGGGATCAGCAGCAGTCACTGACATAACGAGCTACCACAGGTGTCCTCTCTCCTTGGGACATAACCTCGCATTTCCTGCCCGGAATTATCCACGTGGGAAACTATGTCTGCTACTGAAACAGCTATAATTTGTCAAAGGCACCTGTTGTGAATTTGCCCGCCACACTTGCATAACCTCATACGTGCTACTTATTATATATAATATAACGTTCTGCGTTCTTAATAATTCTCCCTTCCTTAATTATCAGGGCCAGCCCCCACTGTGGGAGGTACGTAAGCAACCTGGTGACAAAGCATCCTTTCTTGGGAATACGGCGGTTACTATAGTGAGGATGTGGTAGCCGTGACAATAACAGGAGGAAGCTCCCAGAACACCCCTCGAACAAACTCGAAGCTGCCAGACAATTGTCGTGAAAATGGCGCGGAGCACGAACATTTTGACGCAGGCATATGATCCTCCACCCATAAAAAATTTTACACAATAGCCGAAAAATCTCTCTTGAAATATGGAGAGTTTTCTCCACTGGCGGTTTCCCAGCAGTGTATATATACTAACCAGACGACATCACAGGCCATACATCCCCACACATCCGTAGGAAGGTCGCTCGGCGCAATATTAGCTCACCCCCCCACCCCCTTCCTCTCTTCCCCTGATATCCTTCCTGAACCGAACTCAGTGACATCCTCACCCCCAACATCACATCCATTCCCAGAGGGGCTCAAAATCATCAAAGAAACCCTTGTATATACAAACAACCACACATGACCTACAATTCCTGGAAGAGTAAAAATGTAATACACATAGTGAAATCTCATGAGAACCGAACTCATGGCTACGTTTGGCGGTGGGAGACTACAAAGGATGTCTGCATTTGGACTGAAGCACCTGAAAGTGACCAGTAATCTCCCCCCACACTTAGTTTCCAGGTATAGATGGAGCCCTGGCAAATATGTTGAGTGATCGCTTCATCAGAGTACTTTGCCTGAGACGACTTCCTCCACGACGGAACTAAAATATCATTTTCGCTGGTTGTTGCGCTGTTGACGATGCCAAGCCAATCCACACACACCAGGAGACTTTTAATAGAGTATGTGTACCTATATGGAGTTGAAGGAACGTGTTTGAAATTGTGTTTTCTGCAAAAGTTTGAGAAACGTATCGAGTTTGAGCTTCCCGCAGTGTTTCCAACATATCCACACGTGTTTTTGCATCATCGAGGTCTCTATAAAATGGCAATAAAACGTCACATACCTATATGCATTGCACCCATGTATGTATTACTGATGATGGCTATAGTTAAGCCAAAACCTCAACTTATGGAGTTTTATGTCTTTCTGAGTACATAATTATGCTATTATCTCTTATTTTATATCTGTGAAAGTGTTTTGCATTCATTCGTTCATTAATAAGTGGCCTATTTACATTGATGTAGTATCAATTGCTGGTGAATTATTATTTTGTTGTAAGCAGGTGGGTGAAGGTGTGATGTAATGAATGTCCTTGTTTACAGCTTTCAAGGGTTCTTATTGTCGTCGTGGAAATGACCTCACGGAGTTTGTTTGTACCAAGTTTCAAGTGGTTGCTATGGTGTTGGCTTGTCCCGCTCTGCACAGGTCAAAACACGTGACAACTTTAACCCCCGTTTTAACACAATTAGAGGGGGCAGGGAGAGAGGGACAGCCGCATTATAGCCGCAGAATAGCCCGTTGACTGAGTAACTGTTAGTCATCTACAAGGGGTTTATTCCAAGTTTGTCTGATAATGAATCAACGTTGCATAATGGCACTGCTATGCTTGTATATATATAGCACATAAGAGGCGTCCAAAACGTTACATACGTATGTAGGTATAGTAATGTACACACGTATCGTGAATGATGCGAAAAATATGTTAACCACCTTTTAAGTTAGCTTGTACTTCTTCACCAGATATTTCACGTGTCGTTCCAAACGTCATGCCGTGAAAGTTAAGCGTAGCTGAAAGAATGCCACGAAGAATGCGCACATCAGAAGAAAAGAGAAAACAGATGAACGAAAAATCAGCTCTATGCAGGACCTCTACGTGTATGTGTATATAGTATTATACTAGGAGAGATACTTATGTTGTGAAATGAACCATATATGGCATCGTACTAACTTATTCACTGTCTGTGTCTTTGTAAGGTCATGCATCAGTTGGCAGTTGAAGAGAGAGAGACAGACGGAAGAGAGAGAGAGAGAGAGAGAGGGACAAATCTTAGACTGGTCGGGGCGGTCGTACACAACATTCCTGAGTCACTCAACAACACATCGAGATGGTTCATGGACAGGGCTCGCTGCCAAACCACTCAGGGCTGGGGGAGCGAGCCGGGGAAATAATCACTGAGCGACACTGAAAACGCACACATCAAAAGCGTCACTCGCGTGGCATGTGGTGTGGTGTGGTTGGCTGGGGCCCGCGTGGGAGCTGGTCCTGGGAAACTGCCTTTTTGGGAGTGCCGCAACTCATCAAGACACACCTCAACAATTAACTGCAAATCTCGCTGATATAAACACGGTCTCGAATTGCTACCCGCATAGCCCGCAAACACTCACACGTGTGGTGAAAAACGTGCTCTTCAGGTGGTATATGACCACCCATACACTTCATATGTACACACACACACACACACACACACACACACAGATGCCACTAAACAATCGTAAGATTTTAGACAACATAATGTGTAAGTATATATATGCACGTAATTTGTAGATCTAGGTACATAAATAACTGCCACGAGGGAGGGGCTGTGTTTGTTGTTTGTTGTTTGTGTGTACAATGTTTTTGTTTACCTTTCTCAGAAAGAGGTGTTCAGGGTGTGGCTGGGCGGAGCCAGGGAGGGACGTGCGGGACTGAGGAAGAAGAAGAGAGGAGCAAGTCAATTAGACAACAGCTGATAGTGCGACAGAATAAGTGCATAACAACAGCTATTACAGCACTGTTTGAGCTACTAACAAATGTGACACGTCTTTTTTGGCAAGCGAATGCAAGCAAGCCACAGAGCGCAATCGCTAGTACGTATGTATGTGTCTAAGGCTGGGTTCACAATATGTTGCATTGCGCCGTGCCGCTTTGCCGTGCCGCGAGGATAGACTCCAATCCTATCTTCGCGGCAGGACGCGACGGGCAATGCGCCATATTGTGAACCTAGCCTAAGTGATGCTCACATATGCAAAGTGCTCAATTGATATATTCATCCTCCATCGTAAGTTGCATACACAATATAAACTGTTTGATAGCACGACTTGCATCAAATACAAGAGTCTCAGTCAGTGCCCCTCTAACCCATCCTATAATCGGTCAACCAAGATGAATTCGGGACACCCTCTCCAAAATGGGACAAGCTCGCGATGACCCACTCCTACAATCTGTACTGTATCAACCGCAGACCAAAGTACAAGTGCAGATCCAATTAGGGACAAAGGTATAGTGTGGTTTGGAGGGCACCTTAACGAGTCATCGTAATCCTCAATCCTAATTTCATACACGTTGTATGGTGCCACGTATATAGCATTCCACTCATATTGCCTCCAACCACATGCCAGGCAAATATGGATAGCCCACAGTCGATTGCATCTGCATGTAAAATTCCGCAGCCATTTTAGAATGATATTCAGTCATGTATTTGAGGTGGGCAAGGTGCTCTACTAATGAAGTTTTTATCACCTAAGGTGGGCTCCAACTTTGAACTATGAACATTATAGTACATGTGTAACTCTACTAAATGTTTTTTACAATTCCTCTGAGTTGTACGTAAAAAGCGTAAGTAAAGCATGCGTAAGTACGTAAAGTGTTACGTCATTAAAAAACGGGCAAAACAAATGGCCAAATATGAGTTTGTTATAATTAGCTCACCGAGCGTAAATCATGTTGACTCATCAGTTTAGCAACCTGGAGAATGTGTGTATATAATATACAAGAAGTGTGACGCATAATCAGTTTAAACTGCATGCCCAGGAAAAACATTTTATTGTGAAAAAAATTTCTGCCCTGGGTGGGGCCTGAACCCACGGCACTACGTATGATATGTGAGCGTGAAACGAAAATTAGCGGGAAAAGTCTCTCTCAAGAGAAATGGCAAGTTTTGGTCTGTAGCTCAAGTGTTTTTCATTAAACTCGACAGACGAAGGAATCCAAAACATCCGCTAATCAGATTAGTTTCCAAGAACGGAGGCTCCAGGAAATGGTCATTCGGTGCAGAGAGAGAGAGAGAGAGAGAGCAATGTGTATGTGTAAGAGAAATGGCGTGTACGGGTGTGTACTGGGTGCGGTCAGGGTGGGCAAAGGGCAGACAATATACTCCGAACTGGGTCGCAGTGTTTTAGGCAACTCCTATAGCGTGTATATTGTGGCCGAATAAAGTTAGGCTGTTGGAGAAAAATGGGCTGCTTACACACACCAATACGGAGGAAAGAGTTCAGACCTGTTCTCTGAGCTGGTCAATCTCACGAGTCAGGTATAGCCTGTTCCCTGAACCGGAACCAAACCGGTTTTCCTCTCCCTCTCTCATCACCTTACTACCAGACACCTCTTGTCTTAGACTGGCCACCTTAGGAAATAGAGGGGAAATAAGACATTTACCCATTTATGATGCTTTGTTGACCAACAATACTTTATACAGCCCCACAAAAAATGAATGACTCCCAATATGACACTAATAATGTGGTAATAAAAACGGTAAGGGGCAAAAAAACGTACCAACATGTGTAAAAAAACATCAATGCAACCTTCTAAAATGACTTCGTACGAAGGTATGTAGGTACGTAGAAGCTGTTTGGTTGATTAACATTCCTTTCAACTTCCTCCCACGTAATCACAGGGACCATGGAACCGGTTGTAGAAGGAAGTGCATGTGTATTTACATCAGTGATCGATCCCCTTGATAAGGGAAGTAGTGTGGACAAGATTCGAATTTTGAACTTTCAAATTTTCGAAAGGACCACATGTGTACATTAGGAATAAGTCATGTTTTACTACAACGAATGAGATCACTGTTATTTTTGCCTCTGAACAAAACTGTACTGTTCTACCTTTGCAGTAACCGGCAAATCAATAGATTGTTCAATAGATTGTTCAACTATTATTAACTGGCAGAATAGACGTGTATCAATAAAATAATGTAATAATAGCCGCTTTTATCCGTTGAGTTGGGCGGCTGTTGAACCAGACGGCAGTTAAATTGCTGATTCGATTGTCCGGGAGCTGTCTATACACACGGCATGAGAACTAACATCAGATCTTAGGAGGGCAGAGCAACCGCACTCCAAGACACCCTTTGGGGTGTGTTGATGTAATGCTCAATAGCGGTTCCGTGGTGTGGGCACTTCAAGCCCTTTAGAGCAGGCTGGGCTGAATCAAGTAGCAGTTCTATAATGCTCCCGGCTAATTTGAGATTGTACCTCTGCCTAATAATATGAGACATGGAACTCATCCCAGACTGTAGCTGGATTTAACCCCATTACATTGCATTGTCTCATTGTATAACTTTGCTGCATGCGTTCTGGATAAGATGAGGAGCACTGTGACCCATACCCTCAGTGTGCAAAGAAGCAAGAATGTTCTCACTGCAAGAGAAACTAACATTCCACACGGTGGGGACTCTTTAACAAACAATTAACGCCAGCTCAGAACATGTGACGTCTGATGCACCCTCTTGGCGTCCCTCCACCCCCCACATGAGAGATATCCACTGTCTTCTACACACAGCTGGGACAGAAGTGTTCCCTACTGCCCCCTCCCGGTATCAAATGCCGACCGGCTGTCTTTGTGTCTGCGCAGCGTGGACACGGTCTCGCCACATGAAGGATGGGAAGGACAGAGGGCAGGGACGACCGTGGTCGTAATTGCCGCCATGGCAACAGGGAAGGAATGCAGCAGCGAGCCAAGTCTGTGAAAGGCGGCGATCAATCTCCAGTTACAGCCGATGACTGTACCCAGCCTGTCTCAGCTCCCTGCCCACACCCTCACACCACCACCACCACCAACAACAACAAAGTCTGCACGAAAACTGAAAATTAAAAACACGCTGCCGTCACGCAGCATTTGAAATGCACGTCTACCACATTTAGCGCATTGACGACTCGGAATATTTTGTGAGTGTTTTAAAGTGTATTCCAGCTACACAGGGTTAAAGGACCTAACTACTAACGCAGAGATCACGCAAACAGTTTTTCCTAGAACCAATTCATTGTTTGCAAGCAGTCCCGATAGCTACACGGTTGTCGTAAAAGATCCGATACCTTTGGCAAGCCAAGTGGCACAGAACTGTAGGGTTACACACAACAGATGTGTCGGCTCTTTCATTGCAAACTGCACCTGGAGGTGCGATTACAGGCATCAAAATAGCTGTAAACCTTTGTTTGGGTGATTTCAAAGTCGGTTCAAAAGCCCAGCCACCTTCATAGGACCCCCTGTAGCTAGGTGTAGTTATGCACGAAGCTCCCTACCTCCAACCACATCCATGGATATCACTGATCATCTGAAAAGAAGTCTCCACGTCTCGCAGAGCTGCTATCAAACTTGGCCATCTTGCAGCCGAGCATTTGAAACCTTTGTTGTAAGCCTACCTCAAAGCTACCCGGCCAACCTACCCCCCACAAACAGTTTTGATGGCTGAGTGGAAGTGCTTAGGTAAACCAATCCTCAGAGTGTGTGGGCAAAGGCTTGGAGAGTGGCTGCTGTATATACAGTTGTCCCTCTGCATACCTCTGATGTCAGAACCCAGACCTTGGGTCCTCACAGCTATAGGTCTAAGAGGCAGCGTGGTTAAGAACAAAGTGGACGATGTTCTTAACTGTGGTTAAGGGATCGGAGGCTATCCTGTCCTGCTGCCAGAGCTACAGTCCTCCGCTACACTTCTTTTGGCAGGCACCGAGACCCGAGGAATGCCCTGATAAGCTGAAATGGCAGGGAAGCCTTTCAACTTGGGAACAGTCATAGTGGACTATGAAAGTCTGGAATCACAAGAATCTCTTTGTATCTGCCCAGTTTCCACCTGCAATAACATCATACACTTGTGTGCGCAACTATTTGCTGCAATTCCCAACATTTGTGCGGTATACCTACGGACATTGTTGCTAAACCACATCTGTAGCTATACTATAGCAGAAATCCAGTTTGAGCACACAAACCAAGGGGAATGTCTTGGTGGAGGGAGAGATGAGAGACGGAGGGAAAAAAGAGAGGGAAAAAGGGAGAGCAGAGAGAGGAGAAGAATAGTTTTAAAGTAATGACTTAAATTCATGGAGCTAAACTTCCTATAGCCCACTTTTAACCTTGTGTGTATGTACGTACATGTAAATTTTGTTATCTGGGGTAGCAGCATGGCGTGTCTATGTTTACAGGGTGTGTGTTGAAGGGGCGAGTTTGTTGGTGAGTGGGGGAGAGAGGGAGATGAAGAGGAGAGGAGGGGGAGATGGTACAGACAGACCGACACCCTCTGCCTAACAAGGACTCCAGGAATTCCTGCAAGAAATATCCACTGCAGTTGGGTGGGCGGGTTGCTGGGGAAACCATTACCTAGACTGTAAGTGTATGGCTTTCTTGGCCAGCGTCAAAGAAGCTAGGCAGCAGGTAAGTAAACTCATTATGGGCAGCCATGTTCATGACCTCTGAAAGCCTGCGTCCACTGACTGTGTGATGGTGAGGTGGTAACAGTTTGAGTCAACCTCTACTGCATAGTGTGTGTGGGTATAATTGAAGGGGTGTGTATGCGTTGTTCATTCAAGCCTACTGGTTTAGAAGCCAGAGAGTTTGGATCAAAGCTGGGGATGTCTGCTTGTTAAGATGTAGTGCTAGCTAGAATTCAATCTCTATAATCAAGTGGGTGGTAGAGCTTTTTGTACTGTGTGTACTGCAGAAGGCTCTACGTATGTATGTTATGCATTCAAGCCTACTACATAGTTAGATTCATACGGAGGTGTACGTAAATGGGATTCAGATTTCAACATGGAAAAAAAAGCAGCAACTGAGTGCATGTGTATATAGTATATAGAAGTGCGTGTGTGGAGAAGTATTTGTGTTTTGTGGGTGTTAGAGTGAGGTGGGTTCTGGGGAACAACGCAACTACCAGCGGCCGGTGCCAAGTCTGTGATTGGTTTACAAGCCACTAGTGTACACATTCTTAAGTAGCATACGTAAGTATCTATCTCTAAAGTACGACACATTCATATAAAGCATTCTTTACACGTGTGGTGTGATATACAGGGTACGTTGGGTTCAGTGTTGAGCGAGCGTTGACTTGTGTGCACAGATTGACGTACACGTACTGCTAATAAGTTCCCGGCATATGTTGTTTGTAAACAGAGGCTGCAGTATCGGATGCACAAACACATACACCCATTGCACGGCACGCAAACACAGAGTCTTTGTGTTACGTATATACCTAAGGATGTGTACGTACGTATGTGACCGACTGTGTGTGTATAAGACTTGGAGAACCTGATCTAATATAGGACACCAATCCCAGTTACACACCCCGCCGCTCCCTCCCTTCAAACTACTGGGAAACTGCTGCCAATACCACCCCTTGAAAGGCGTAAGTATACACATACGTATGTACTGTTCCTATTGATCACCCAATGTACAGTCATCTACGGCTGCATCTTTCACTAGGTGAAGTGGTATGTCTGAAACCTGAGTGGCACATCGACCGGTTCATTTTTTACTCGAGTCGTTTTTTTCTCCTTCTCTTCTTCCGTCCTTAGCTTTATTGTATGCAGTGGAACCCTCTTCTAATCCAGACACCAATGGAACAGAAGAAAGTGTCCATATTAGTGAGGTGTCCTTATTACAGAGGGTTGAATTACACACAAGAGATATTCTTGAGGGAAAAAGGTGTCCTTACTAGAGAGATGTCTTCATTTCTGGGGTGTTCTTGGAGAGAGATTTCTTTGTCATGCGCAAATAACCTAAAACACCAAGCTATGGTGCACTAGATCTCACCCATCCCATTGTGATGTATATAGCCTTTAGGACACACTTTGGTATTGGTAGTCTTAATGTACTATAGCAAGGGACATACACAGACACACACACACACACCCTACCACATGTCGCTCATGTACAACACTTATCAAAGTTTATCTGGAAAAGTGAGAGGGAGTGCTTGCCTTGCATCACCACAGCATACCAGACTCCCTCTCCTTTTTGTGCGTTCATTAGTCGCAAAGGGTCCTGGTCACATCTCCCATCTGTGCTGCGTGGAGAGGGCTCTTTATCTCCGAGACAATCCTCTGTGTGGACCTGGGCCCGAGCCAAGCCGAGCATAACTTAATGCAACCCACTTAATTCCATCAAAGGGCCGCTGCGCATACTTTCTTGTCGGGTGACCTGTGGCTAATACAGGTCGTGTTTGTTAAAACGCGGCCCTAATAGGCCGAGATGTGTCTAATGCACCCGCCTGTAGCTAAGTGCATACCTCTCTGCCCAGCTGCATGAACAGGTTGTCATAGTGACGGGCCAGCCGGCGAGCGAGCATCGTGAAATCCTTCAGTTGCTTCTCGACGGCTTGTCTCCGTTTCCTCTCTCGAATCACTGCAGGGACGAGAGTGAGAGAGAAAGAGAGGGGAGAGAGAGAGAGGGAGAGAGCGTCCAAGAGGCAAACACAGCTTTTTTAATTGACTACACTTGAGTAAAGAGCGGGGAGATAAGTAGTGACACTGCACTGCCAAATTTTTCAAAAGTGCACGGTGGTTAGGATTGGCACATCCAGCCATCTTTCTGGCCCGACCGACAAGCGAACTTGGACCGATGCTTTGTTCTGCCACCCGCTGCCCCTTCAGAAACAAGTGTGTGTAGGTATCTCTTGGATTAAGAGTGTTGGCTGGATGAGTAGTGCTCCACTTGACCCTCTTTCCCATGCACATGTGTTGGTACATTGTGTGTGGCTCCAACAGCGCTTTACGTCAACATCAGATTTGGCAATTATGTATATGAATGAGATTGGCAAGTGACTGATACATACGCATGCGGTAGGCGCCAGGAATTACGAGAGGACACTGATAGATAAAGAAAGAGAGGAAGGAGAGGAAAAGCAAAGGGAAGAAAGAGATAGAGAGAAAAGAGAAAGAGAGGGGGGGGGAGGGAAGGGAGAGGGAGAATATCAAAGAGAAGAAGAGAGGCACGGGAAGGAACAGTAGGAGAGAGAGACAAGTTCCTTTACCAGCACGGTGAAGGTGAGTAAACACATCGGCTTTCTCGTAGAGGATCTGATTGGAGAGTAGCGCTATCCTGTCGTGGAGGTCGTTGATCTCCGTTGCCACAGAGTCACCCTCTGGAACAGGGTAGGCTGGCGGTAGTTTCCTGCCCTGTCTGGCTCCACCGGGAGCCAGAAAGGTTGGTTGGTTGACAGTGGAGGGCGGCGGGACAGAGGGGGGTGGGGGAGGGGTGGGCGAAGAGGGAGGGGAGAGGCTCAGTGACTGTTTCTTTGTCCGTGGGAGGGTGTAGCTCGACCCGCGAGACGTAGTATTTGAGTCAGAGGATCTGTGAGGACTTGATTCAAGGTCGGAGTGGTATCTCGGTGAAGGAGTAGAGAGTTGTCGTGTCGTCGTTGGGGAGGGGTCCAGCCCGTGTTCCACGGACCTACTGAGACCGTGGGTCAGAGAGGGGGCAGGGAGTTGGGAGGGAGAGGGGGAGGATCGGGGGTGATCAGGCTGCGACAGAGACAGGGCCGCCTCGTGTGTGGCTCTCCCAGCTATTCCATCCAGCTCCCAATCCTCGGGCGATACCAGGAGATCAATTGACTTGTTTAGCCTCGAACCACCGCTTGTGCCGCCTCCGAGTGGACCAGAGAACGAGAAACTCTGGTCTCCACTGATGTAAATCTCTGTAAACGGTCGGATCGCCTGCTGGCGTTGGTTCTGAGAGAGACGTTCGTGAGACCCGTGAAGACTCTTCCAACCACTGCCGTTTGGCTTGCGGACAGCAGCAGAGCTCAGTTTCTCAGTGGCGGCTGAAGATAGACTGTCTGTGGAGCTGGATCGTCTGTTAGACCCCACTGTTTGTTCCCCTGTAGCCCTCCCACCTTTCTTCTGGTTTTGCTCCGTCACAGGAATTGTGTCTCCGTTCTTTCGCTGTTGGCGAAGGCCCTCCAGTGAACGAGCCTCGACCTTCGCCTTCTCTTTCTGCTCCATGCTGGCTCCCGGGGCGTGCGATCGGCTCAAGCTGCGCAAACTCTCAAATACCTGCTCTCGGTTCATCTTCGACGGTGAGCTCAACGCAGAGTGGCGTTGCTGTTTGCTCATGTTTCTCCCGGCCTCCCCCCTTTTCCTCCCACCACCACCGCTGCCTGTTCTTCTCCTCCTCACTTCCGCCATCTGCAGGTAGACGCTCCTACAGCTGTGCAGGTAGTGGCGGAGCCTGGTGTCTTCACTCCCGCCGGGTACCTGGACAATGCTCAGGTTGTGAGGCCTCACAAAAATACTAGCCTCGATAGCATTGAAAGCAATCTGAAGCCTCTCGGGGGCAGACCCTGATATTATGTCCTATTAGGGATAGAGAAAGGTTGGATATTAATTTCTAATATCTGTCGAAACCAAGCTCTGCATGTAGTTCAAGCAAACATGTACTTATCGTAAATTTAGCTGTTTTGTATTTTTTTAAAGCCAGCATATTGTCTTAACAAAGTGGTTGTCAGTGCTGGAAGGCGAATTGTAACTCACCAGTTCAGAGACTGCTCCACTCTTGACTTCATTGGCAAGATCACACAATATCTTCCCATCATACAGCCTAGACAGTGGTGACAAACCAAGGTGGGAAGGTGGAGCATTCTGTAAATTTAAAATCAGGAAGAGATATACTCACAGAGTGTAATTGGGAATGTCTCTGTGCACAATTTCCCCCAGCCAGCCAAGCAGTGCCACATCTTCTCGGTCGAGAGACGAGAAGCTCAGTTTCCCTCCTCCGGCTGGCGAGGAAGAGGAGGAGGAGGAGGAGGACGGGTGGGGTGTGGGGAGACTCTGACCTGATCTGTTGATACATACAGATCATATATTAGCAGTTTCAGTATCAGTATAATAGGGCTTAATTGAGGGGAAAGTTTGTTAAATTGATAACATCACTGACCAAAGGCATGTTTTGGAGGTGTGACAACTACACGTCTGAGGCATAATTATGGAACTAGACACAACTGTATGTAATATAAACAGACAGTGCACACGTGGTCATGCACGCGCAACTCACACACACACACACACACACTCTGTACGTACAAACAGTTGCCGAACCGAATCACAAACTTGAGCAAAATACTCCAACTTTTTGCGTAGTTTTACTCCGGTATACTCATACTAGGACCGAACACTGCCACTCCCAACAACTGAAAGGACTACTTACACAAACTGGAATTCTGCGAGATTTATATAAGCACTAGAATCTATACTCTGAATGACACACCTAACTCGTGTACGTCGCTTCCTAGTTTCTTAGAGTAAGAAGGATGCCTGTATATATCCGCTAGGGTCACTTCACTATGATACAACTCATCACGAATGTTTTACACATGTTCAACTCTATAGCGTCGGTAAGAGTGCTATGTGCCCATTGATTACTCTGTGCGGTGTCTTCACACGGTAATAATAGTAACACGCCCTAGCCATACTTTGTCGTGTGTCTCACCCATTGCTTTTAGGGGACTTGGTAGTTGTGAAAAATCTCTTCAGAGCATGACAAATGGCTAAAATCGTCTTCATGTTTCCACCGGCAATATCTGTCAGAAAATCAGAATTTCACGAGTGACTAAAACGAGAGAAGGGTCCGTTCATATAGTGTCTAAAAGAAATGATAACTCAGTTGAGTTGCATTAAACTTCAAATGTATGGGTATGATGAGTAAACACAACATGCATTTCATACAGCTTTGAAGTTGCATTATCGTGATGACATTAAGTTAACCCTTTGGACGCCATGGGTATCTCCTTAAATAAGCAGAAATTGATGTAATTAGCACCTAGTACTATAGCCATCTTATGGACTTATGGAGGCTCTGGGCATATATATAGAGCCCGTGGCTTGCTAAGGGTTAATCAATGCTGACTGGCTGACAGACCATTTGCATGGATCCCTTTCACAGAGACGCCTTTCTCATCCAGGTACTTGAGGCAGACCTGCAGGTTCTCCAGTTTCTGCACCCTCATGATGGGGTTAGGGAAGTGCTTGGGAAGATCCTCCTTGGCTGCATGCAAATATTGAGTGAGTTGAGTGAACAAGAGACTTGCTGAGTAAATTCTATAGCAAGGCAAAGTACCTCCAAGTATTAAAAATCAAGGGAGGAAAAGTGAGAAAGTCCAAGCAAAACGCCTGAAAAGGACCCGTGAAAGAACATACAATCCCCAGCATCACACCAAGAAAAAGAGAGTGAAATAGTCCACCTATTGTAATATATACACGCACCCAATGCCTGGACCAGATTGTGTAGAGTAATGCCGTCAGTCATGTCTAATCCGAGATCAGTCACACGAGCTGCTCGCTGTATCCCGCGCCTCCCAGCTGCTGGTTCACCCACTTCGTCGCCTCCTGCAACCAAAACAGCCAGACAGGTAAGATGAGTTCGAGCTAATTGTGATTGCTCTCTCACGGAGATTTCTTCCTGGATGCGGTCTCGCTGGTGGACGGGTTGTGTTCTTGCGGGGCGCGCTGTGGTATTTGTGTTTTTGTAAGAGAGGGAGCGTGGGCTTCATTCGTAACAGACTGGACCGGAGCCTCGCGTCCATGTCAGTCTCTCTCGCTGCAGCTGCATTGCGAGAAACGTCGCCCACCCCTTTTTGCGATAAAGAGCGCGCGAAACATTCGCACTGGAGCTACGCGAAATAGCTCTTAGCACAAGTCGTTGTGCATTTGATTCCTTTACTACTCGATCACATCTATATCAACTGATGCGAGCTGTCCACTCATAGTGCGGCACTGTGGCACGGGCTCTGACCTGCGTCTCTGCAGGCAGGCAAAAGACACTACTGTTGGCTGGAGTGCGTTTCTCCGTGCAGCGTGCGTATGCGCGCATGCGCATTGGTTTTTACGCTCTGAACTCTGAACCCATGATGCCTCGCCGTTGCTCGAGACTTTTCTTTTCTCTCCGGTTCGTCTGCTGCCTGAACAGGACACTTTTACCCTGGAACGAAAAACAGCAGCGGAGTGTGGAATTGGAGCGAAGGGGTTATAACGGTTTAAAATCGAAAGACGGAAGCGAAGAAAGATAGGGGAGGAACGAAGGGGATAAATGGTTGTGAGGGAAAAATAAAAAATATACACAAACAGAAAAACAGCCAAGCTCCGCGAGCAAGCAGGTCTAGAATAAGAACACCACCTGGGCTCTTTCGTCAGAAACGCGTCTGTGGCAAGCCTTCATCTCGCACCCCACTTGCGCGCATTCGAGATCACTGTCCATTCCTGCAAAGTCACTCCAGTCCAGGATGAGGTTTCGGACGAAGGAAACACTTGTACTACGAGAATACAGCGGTACAAACGGTGGGCAAAATTAAAGGGTTAGTGTGTTGAAAGGTATATATCAGCTCTGGATTTCTATGGTGTTGTGTTGTGGTGGCAGGCTACTAAGCAGAAGGCAGACTGTTGAGAAGCCAAGATCAAGGCAGCTCGTCTGCAGGAGACGCGAGCGTGTGACGCCTTTGTACCTCCTCCCGTCTGTCTCTCGTCTCTACGTCACAGTTTTACTGCTCTCTCTACGACCTCCGTAAGATCTCTGACATTCCTAAATCACTCTCTCACCTTATGTATGACTCTACATAGTAGGAGTTTTACGCAGTAGTGGCAAATATTCTCTTGTGCAGAGTGTGTGGATTCTGTCATGCCTACTGAGAAGAGCAGCAGGATGTGCAAAGAAGCACATCGGAAAGCACGGTAAAATATAACATCTTTACAAATAATCACACTCGTCTTATCTCTACGGCATAGATTTGTTTGAAACTACGTGAACGTAGTCTGATAAAATATACTGTATGATTCTCATTCTGTTAGAGTAATGGAGAGGTAGCGCATCACAAAGACAAAGAGTCAGTACTGTGCCATCATTCCGGTCAGTAGGTCACAGTGTGGAGTCTGCACAATCCCTTCATATTCCTATCCAATACTCTAGGCCGAGGAGAACGGAGGATTTCGAAGTCACAAGGAAGCTCCTGACTAAGGCTCGCCATTTCCCTACGTAAGACAATCAGTAGTATGATATTTTTGTGATGCAGATCTGCTCTGTCTGCCTCACGTTTGGTCTCTCCGTGTCTCGATGACGATGCTACGAACGTTCATTTTGGCAGTGTTCTGGCCATCGATGTCACTTCACTCGGCTCATTAACTACCAGCAGCTAGTATCAAGAGAACGCTCCGGTAGCTCATGAACTCCCACACACCGATTAAGGACCT